AAAAAAAAATGTATATCCTGAAGCAGAAAATAGATTTCTTGTGAACGTTAATGGGCAAATGTGTATTCTATTACCACAAATGTGAGACCATCCTTTCTCTTTGGACACACCATGCCTTAGCCACTGCAGCATTTGTAACAGAGGAAGCTAGGGTTCTCCAGGCAGTCTTAGCCTTAATAAATAATCTTAGCTTGTGCTCTGGACATTGCTTTCCTGTTTACAAAATAAGGAAGATGAAGAGTTGTGAAAATAAAACAACCATAAACTACTTTGGTCTTAAGTGCAGTGTACATTTGAACATTGCAACCAAAACCTTTAGAGGCATATTTTAATTTCTGCAGATTTCTGTCCTGGTCTGTGCTATTACAGCTTTGTCCTATGCGTACAAAGTCTGCATAAGTATGTCTGCTCTTGTATTTTTCTTGTATTCTGTGTTTTACTTGGGGCTAAAACAGATTTAGTCTTCTCTTGCATATGAGCTAGGACTAACTGTTCCAGAGGGTTGTGATTTTTGATACCAGTAAGTTGCTGCTCTACTTCTTATCTTTACCTCCCTTTGATTAAAATAGGCTTCACTAGTTCAGAAGTAACTTTTTTTTTTTTTTTTTTTTTTTTTTTTTTTTTTTTTTACTGTTGGGTGCTTACAGCTGCACACTGTACAGAGACATCAACCTAAAAATAAACTGAACAGAAAGTTGTGGTCAGGGCACCAAGGGTTGCCTAAACTTTTTCACTTTCTTCACATAGTTTAGTTCCTATGTAGAACCAAAGCTTTTATGCAAAAGTATACCTTAAAGCTGGTACCTTTTGGACTCATTTTACTAGTGGTTAATATTGGAAATGTACTTTCAATGCCCAAGGGATTTGTGCTTACAGATCTTACTTGCAAGACTATGGATGTTTTGCTTGATACTTTCAGTCCTTCCTGTTGCAGTTATTTCCATGTCTGTGGATTCTTCCTGCCACAGAAAAAGATTTTTGCTCTTTAAATGCCCAAAGTGTCAGTGGAAGTATAGTTGCCTATGGATATTTACCAGTGGCTGAGGGGGCAATAGAGGATCATTACGTTTGGATGTGGCTTCATTAAATCCTTTTCATCACTGTGTTTAACCTGTGTTAGATTTAAATGGGTTGCTTTTCACTAACATCTCATCTGAGTTCTGTGTCCATTCTGTAGCTCCAACCTGTAGACTAGCCCGTTTACTACCTACAGAGTTTCTGTAATGGATCCTACACAGGATTTTCTTCTAAATTCTCATTTACAGAGTTCACTACAACTTCAGTGCTTTGTTCTTCCTCTTCTCCAATATTTTTGACTCGCCTTACCCTTCTTCCTTCCCACCGTATGTCCTAGTGATTGTACCTGTAAAAGAAGATACAGCTAGCTCTTAGTGACTATTTTGATCTGTTCTCTAGGCTGCTCAACAGTGTTCCCTACCCTTTCTTCTGGTGGTGAGCAATCAGTTTTTTGTAAGAGAGATCCCGTGACTCAGTGCCTTTGACAGAATGAATAGCATATCTGTTGTTATTTTGCACTCAATTGAGAACAGGAGTTTGAAATGCTGATATATACCTAAGCTTTGAAGTGTCTTCTGTTATATCATCAATAGTTAGGTTGACTTCACTTCCTACCCTCCCTCTCACCCTAGGAAAAAACGTGGATATTAGAAAGTAACTGAGTTTGGTGCAACTAATTTCTCTAGCTTCTCTTCCCCAACCTTTTGTTTGTAAGAGCAGAGGCCTTTCTGTAGGAGACACATTTTGAGAGGCCTCATCTACAAATCCATTCAATTGTCACTTTGGTGACAATTACCTCTGTACATTATCCAGGTACTTTCCTGCCCAAATGGAAAAGTATCATGGCACATGCAGAGACACCTGCTTCTTGCCTTCTGAAAATAGAGGCATAGACATCTAAACACACTGCTGCATGTTCTATTCATCCGTGTGCAATTTGAGCAGATCTAAGTTGCTGTGAGTGAGCCAGGTGCTTACTATCTAGGCAGAACTAATGGCAATGAAAGACAAATGAAAATGTGCTGAAGGCCATGTTTCCAAAGCAGCCTGTTGGCAGATGAACCACAGAGACTTCACAAGCCCTAGGAACTCATGAAGGCTCTGAGCCCATGGGGCAATACCTTCTTGGAAGGAAATAATTCTAAAATAATATGATGAACAAGTTGGAAATTACTGCTGAGTTTTGATGGAGTTGATGAACAATTACCAATTCATCTGTAACTAAAAATCTAATACAGCTTTTGGTAATTGCAAAAGGGGCTTGGCTGTCGTCAGCATCACAATAAGAACTTGAAACAATGAAAACTCATGAGTTCACACACACCGCTCATCCCACCCTAATATAGTATAGGATCCAGGGATGCATTCTCATATCTCAAGGTATCAGGAAGGTTGAAAGGGTGGTGGGATGATTCTGGGAACTAGACTCATAAAATGTCACGCAGAAGATCTGCTGACTAGAATCTGAAGCTGTTCCACTACACTGAGGTGGTTTTACCCTGCTGTGCAGCTGAACTCCAACACAAATGCTGTCCCACTCCCTCTCCTCAAAGAAAAAAGGGGAGAAAATCCGATGGAAATGGCTCAAGGGTTGCCATGGGCAAAATAGACTCAGCATTGGGAATACATAATACATAAGAATATAATTTATTACCTGTTGCTAATAAGCTAGAGCAGTGAGAAACTAAAAACAAACTAAAACCACCTTTCTCCTCCCCCACTCCTCCCCCCTCATTTACGTCCTATCCATGAGTGGCACAGGGGAATGGGGAATGGGGGCTGCAGTCAGTCTGTAATACCGCCTCTGTAATACCGCCTCTGCCACTCCCTCACGGTCACTCTGCCCCTACTCCCCGTGGGGTCCCTCCCACAGGATGCTGTCCTTCCTGAACTGAGCCTGCGGGGGCTGCCCACAGGCAGCAGCTCTTCAAGCACTGCTCCCACACGGCTCCGTACCACGGGGTCCATCCCCCAGGAGCAAACTGCTCCAGCACGGGTCCCCCACGGGTGGGCGGCAGCTCCCCTCAGACCCCCTGCTCCTGCGGGGGCTCTCCATGGGCCGCAGCCTTCTCCAGGCCACATCCACCTGCTCCACCGGGGGCTCCTCCACCCATGGGGGGGCTGCAGCGTGGAGATCTGCTCCATGTGGGACCCATGGGCTGCAGGGGGACAGCCTGCTCCACCAGGGGCCTTTCCCTGCACAGGCCGCAGGGGAACTGCTGCTGCCTGCCTGGAGCACCTCCTGCCCTCCTGCTGCTGTGACCTTGGGGGGCTGCAGAGCTGCTTCTCACTCCTCTCTCTCCCAGCAACAGCAGTTGCACAGCAGTTTTTTTCCTTTCTTAAATCCCAGAGGCATGACCAATGTCACTTATTGGCTCAGCTCTGGCCAGTGGTGGGTCCTTTTGGAGCAGGCTGAAATAGGCTTTGATCTGCCATGGGGCAGCTTCTGGACTCTTCTCACAGAGTATAGTTATTCTTTTCAATTGTGCTGCAGTGTTACTCTTTGTGATTGATTCATTTGTTTTAAATACAGTTACTTACTGGAATTAACAAATCTTCTTCCTGAAGTGCACCTGATTTTTGTGTTGAACTTCAAAAGTATTCAGCTTTGATAGGGAGAGCTAATTTATTTTTAAGTACTGGGCCAAACTTGTCTCTGTCATATCCTTGATAAACATTACTGTTTCTCTGCAGTTATACCAGGGAATATAAAGAGCATCTTTGGCTCTGGTTATAATGACGGTGTTTTTTGTTTTTGTTTTTGTTTTTGTTTTCTCCAGGGGAAACCTCAGTTTTCTAACAGTTCTTTCCTGTTGGTCTCAGCTCAGCTAGTTCCCTGGCAGGTGTATGAGCACAGGGAGTGTACTCAGCAGTGGAACAGCCAAGATGATGCATTGTTTATGCTCTGTATTAAGATGAAGGGTGTACAATAAATTCCTGTAGCATGCAAATTAATGTTAAAGTTGGGAAGCAAATGTTAAGATTTCTCTAATGTATCATTGATCATGTTTAACTATTTCAGTTTCCTTCTAAGCTATAACAGCTGTCCAGAATACAAAGAGAAGTTAGTCCTGTGAAATGATTGGCACAAATGGAATTCTGCACACATTACTGCTGGACCTGACTTAATATTTGTGCACTATCTCCTAAAAACTATGTTTTTCTGACTTCTTCCCTCCCCCTTTGAGCACTTGGTTTTGATCCCATCTCTTATCCCCAACTTGTCATTGCAGTTCTAGGCAAGGAAATACCCAACTCCCTGTGACTGATAGCTCTAGCTCAGGAGTGGAAAAGTAAGAATTGACTGTAATTACTGGCTGCAAGCATAAACATAGGTTTAAAGCTAGGTGGCTCCTGCTGGAAGTACATAAAAAAAATAAAAAATAAAAAATTTCCCCCTTGAAGCTTCAGTGTCTCAGAGTGAAACCCCACCATACATATACAACTCTTCCAGCTGTGCAAATTAAAGGAATATAGCATTTCACAAGTGCTCAACATTTTAGGGAAATGGACTAAAAATGAGTGCAGTGAATTGTTATGCATACATTTAAAATGCAATATAGAGGCTGTTTTTGCCTCATTAACATGTTGTAATGATGGAGTTGTGGCTTTTCCGAGAAAAAAAAGAAGATACGATTCAGCTGACCCTGGGAAATATGCTTTTATAATAATTGAAAAAATAAAGTTGGATTTCACATTATTATGTAATAATTAAATCAGTTTAGTATAATAAATGTGATTTGGCTTGCTCTTGTCTTTTGAAAGTAGTTATCTAGTAATTTATTAATTTGCTGACAAATAAGAGTATTATGTACTTAAAACACAGACTTTAGATTAGTTTTTTTAAAATGATAACATGGCTCTTGAATTCCATAGTTACCACCAGAAAAAATACAACAAAGTATCTTTTTAAAGTATGCAGTAGACAAATATGTAGGCAAAAGACTTAAGATATTGGGTGATACTGTTTGTCAAGAACATTAGCATTTACAGGTCATTTCCATCATTGCTGCTGTGATTATATATTAATGATTCCTTCATTACGTGAATGCCAGAAGGGTAAATTCACAAAAAGGAAAATCACTTTTACATGTAACTTAGTGAGATAACAATATCTAGAACCTATTGTAAAGAAACGACGACAGACTTTCATTCAGCAATGCTTGCCACAACAGGAAATGACTTCCTCTAACATGCAATAAAATAAATAACGGTCAGATGGCTTGTTTGTCTGCATATACTTTGCAAAGTTCTGCCAGTTAAAACAGGATGTTTTCTATTAATATTGTTCCAGATTTCCTGATAACGATAGCACCAAAATAAGGACCAGATTTTGTCTAGGTGAGATTCAGTTCTCCTGCATAAAGCCCTATGCCTAGAATCTGCAAATAGTGGAAGTAAGCAGTCAGGCTGCTAAATTCATGTATAAGAACCAGGGTGAAATCTATAAAAGCTTATGGGAGGTAGGTACTTAGCTTCCACGGAGACCAAAAGGTGAGCACCTTTGTTCTTAAAAATTTTTGTCAATTCCATCCCTGTAAGTTTTAACAGCATCCCCTTATTTACTCGGGGACAGCATGTATATAGACATATATTTAAATAGTGCCTTGAGTGTTCAAAAACCTATGCAAGTAAAAAGAACATGCAGCTTCTCAACTATGAAGAAGCATCAGCCTTGCTGAGCCTTATTGCTTCTAAGATAAGCTACTGAATCTTTCCTGTAGACCACACTAGACTTTCACTGATCTTCAGACAGAAAAAAAGGGGTTGTGAGTTAAGTGTTGGCAGACCTTGAACCATGTGGGGTTCATGTGGAAAGAAGGGTTTAAGTCAGCCTCATGTGACATGGGATATTTCACCCAACTGGAATATGGCTTATGTTGAGGTACATTTTCTTTGGCTATTTTTTCCTGAAAGGTGCAATTGCAAAAAATAAAATATTTACATCAGTACAAATAAAATTTCAGTGTCAGCTTTTTCTGTCATAAGATGGAATACTATGTGCAACAGGTGAATTATTTTCCTTGGGGATCAGATACAAAACTGTTTTCAATACAGAGAACAATAAACTGATTGCTACAGCTATATGCTTTCTGATCGAGAAGTTTTCCCTTCTTCAGTGGTGATGCTTGTCCCATAGCTGCCAAATCACTTGTGTGCCAGGCTTCACAGTAGTTGCTAACCATTCGGATCCCATTCGCAGTTGAACCATGCCATATTACTTTTTGAGGCCTGAAAAGTAATGCTAACAGGTTATTTGCTGAAAAAGTCTATTTTCATTCAGCTGCATGCCTATATGGTGACTTTGCTCTGTTCATACCATATGACCATTTTTTGTTGCTCTCTTGCCTTGAAGCAAACAGCATGTGGGAAAAGATGAAGATAGAAAGCAAAGGAAGAAAAGGAAAACAGAGCCTGATATCTCAGTTGTAGGCTATCTGAAATGGAAAAGAAGACAGCATAAGAAAATAGAGAATTTTTTATCATATTTCTAATAGCCCAAGATATTGACACTTGTACTGTCTGGCAAAAATAAATGCCATGTAAAACTTAAAAATGATAATGTAAACTCACCAGGATGGGTCTGTCATGACATTTCTCCCATCAAAAGAGTATATTGGAACATTAATGTTGAATTCTCCACCATTTCCTTTAAATATAGATTCCCAGTTGTGGAAAAGCATTTCTCCCTGTTAAAATTTCAAAAGCATTTTTACAAACAAAATAGTATGTCATAACTGACTTTTATAAACTTTTCAGTAAATCTAAAATCTTATATTGATTTAATAAAACTTGTGATTCCAGCTTTCACATCTTAGATTCTGCACGATGCTCCTGAATGAATCCAGCTATCATCTCTCTGCAAATAGCTCTCTCACCTTTGCCTCATAGTTGCATCTCTGCTCTATCGTCACTCCAAATATTCAACTTGATTATAGAACTATACAGTCATAGAATGGTTTGGGTTTGAAGAGACTGATAAAGATGATCTAGTTCCAACAGTCCTGAGATGGGCAGAGACACCTTCCACTAGATCAGTTTTTTCAAGGGCCCACTGAACCTGGCCTTGAATGCTTCAAGGGATAGAGCATCCATAATTTCTCTCAGCACCCTGTTCCTGTGCCTCACCACCTTCATAAAAAAGAATTTCTTCCTTGTATCAAATCTAAACCTCTTTTACAGAATCACAGAATCACAGAATTGTCTAGGTTGGAAGAGGACCTCAAGATCACCGAGTCCAACCTCTGACCTAACACTAACAAGTCCTCCATTAAACCACATCACTGAGCTCAACATCTAAACGTCTTTTAAAGACCTCCAGGGATGGTGACTCCACCACTTCCCTGGGCAGTCTATTCCAATGCCTAATTGGAATACTGAATGCCCAATTGGATACTGAAAGAAGTAACACTTTAAAAAGGAAAGGAAATGTGAGTCTTTAACTTTCTGCTTTATCACTTTTTTCCCTCCTGTAACCTGATTCCAAAATATGAAGGAAAACTTCTTTATAAAATGTACTTTGTGTTGAAACTTTTAAGCTTTTGGTATTTTCTAAGATTTTGGGGCACCTACAGCTTATCCTAATAACAAATTCTAAGCACTCACTCTTACCTTAAGATTGACTATTGGTAAGTGTATCGGTCTGTTTTCTCTGACAACTGTGCAAGATCTTGCAAATGTGATGAGAGAAAGGCTCTATAAGTAGTGTCAAACCTGCTAGCTGGGCCTGTTGAAAACACTGAAAATCTGCTCTCATGTCACCAGAAAATGGCAAGTTTAAAGCCACCAGATGCGAGCTGGAGAAAGAAAGAAGAAAAGCCATTTTTTAAAAGTATATAAACAGAGGAAGACATATTTGAAAACAACTACCAGCTATCCCCTGCAGCACAAGACCTAGTACCTTCCATTCTTGGTATTAAGTTATTTGCCATAATAATATTAACATTCCTTAATCTATGCAACCCTGTAATATATTTCTTCAACAGTCAGGAAACATGAATTATATACTCTTTAAAAACTTTTTAAAGTAGCTAGTATCTTAAAACAACAGTCCTCAAAAAGTTAACAAACATAATCTGAAATCTTACAGACATGGAAACAAGTAGTAAGAGGTGACATATACCATTTTGAAAATTCAATGTTACCAAATACAAGAACAAGCATACTTGAGTCAAACAGTACGCAAGAAACTATTCCACTTCTTTATTTTTTCATGTAACTCCATGATTTTGCTTTCTTTGTCTAAACATTAATTTTAATATATCTTAACAAATACTTAATTTTATTTTAATGTATTTTAATATATTTAATAATAATTACAATAAATGTGATAATAAATAAATAAATAAATAAAATTAAATAAATATTTTAATAAATATTTTTAAAGTACTTCAAATGAAGGCTTATATTCTAAAGTGTCTGTTTAAAAACAAGCAGCATCATGAAGATAGAAAAGGTTCTAACTAATATTTTAGTGATTTAATTGTAACACAATTATTAGCTTAAAAATTACTGTGTTGCACATTTTTGGGCACAATCCCTAAGTTAAGAGGTATTCCTAACACAGAATCAGTTTTTGTTTGTTTGTTTATTTCTTTTCTAAGATATTAAAGGGGCTAGGGAGACTAAAATAGTCCTGGAGGAAACCATTATATATTTCTCTGTGATGTCTAAACTAGTTAAAAAAATATTGTAAATTTCTATAGCAAAAACTGTTAATTTGAAGAGAAAATAATACACATCTCCCTCAACACGCAAATTGGAGTATTTCAAAATGCAGCTATGAATTGCAATACAGATCTCATACTTACTACTGGCTTTCCATTGTTCATATTTGATATTGGACTTGGTGCCGGAAGAGACGGAAATCCCTGTTATTTATAAACATGCAGATATGTATGTTAAATATGTTAGTTAGACCAGAATTTTAGACGTTCCATAATATTGTACATTAAAGTAGACATTGAATGTTGGAGAATCTGAAACTATATTGTATCAGAAAAATAAACCCAAACCATGTAGCCACAATACTTTACCTACATGTATGTACCTTCAATTAGTTTGTCACATAAATATGTGTTTGAATCTGTCCTGGCCAAGTTGCCTTGCTAGACCCAAGTGTTACCATTCTGCCAGTACCCTACCTGGTGTCAGCACCAGTATGCACCTGGAGTCCCATATGGAAGTGGCCTGCTCTTGGTAGGAGCAGAAGACCACTTCAGGAAAAAACAACATTGAAAGGACAGGAAGAATGTGGAAACAGAAAGTTTAGTGGTTGGGGGAGATTTCTTAAGGTCCTTAGTATTCCCTCTCCTAAACAAGTGAAATGTAGAGACCAAAAGGTTGATGAGCTCAATAGCTCTCTCATGAACAGCTAAATTTTCTTCTATGGTCATGGAAAATATGAGTAATGAGCCAGTGAATGTAGCAATTGGGGAAAATGATGTGGTGTCAGCTGGAGGTTTGCAGAAAATTTCTTCTAAAACGAGGTCTAGAGATCTTCCTAGTGTGCTAAGTGCATTTCTGTCTGGCCTATTCCAACTACTTTTATTTTCCAGCCACCTTCCTTCTCATGAGCCTTCATAGCACTCCCTTGCCCTTTCATATCAGTAAGATCAATTGACCAGTCATCAACAAGACTTCTCTATTCCGTTTGCCATTTTCCTGGGTTTCATCCTTATATGATTTTTTGGGACAGGCAAGCATGTTCACATGCAAATTTAGACAATAATCTGCAAAATGAAGTCAGGTATAAATTAACACACGAGATTTTAGAAGAGACCTCAGTAACCCACTTATCCCGATGTGGGATAAGCTATATGCAGGTGATGATGATATAAGCATAAATAAAGCGCTATAAACTTTTAAAGAAACCCGCTTTTCAGAGACCACTTTTACAAGTTTTCTTGACAGAAGTGTTATGAAACAGAATACTGATTCTTTTTAGTGGGCAGTCTGCTTTGTCCTGCATTTTGTGGAGGTTGTTTCGTCTTTGTCATGTTTGAAATCTCAGAATATAATGGAAAAAGACTAATGGCTGGCCAGCATGAAAACTTTGCAAGGTTATGCAGTGGCAGGGCAAGGTTCTGCTGAGACTGACAAGTCTCAGCAGAAAATCATGTTGTGCAGGGACCTGCCTGTAACTTCTGCCAAGTGTATCTTCTCTTTTTGCACATTAGACTCATTTTTTCACAGTCTAGTATTTTTACTTACATGGCTTGATATGGCTGGAGGAGGAAGGCTGTCATCAGGGATGGGAATTAGCTCACCAAGCTGAAAGAACACAAAAAGAGAAGCAAACAAAGTCATATCAGTAGGAGTTTATGAGCTAAAAAAAGAAAAGAAAAAAAAAGTATTTTTGCACCATACTTCTCAATGATTCTCATCACAATGATTCCATTTTGAGTAAGAGAGCTCGAAGGTATTAGGATGTAGTGCAATCATACCTGCAATTTTCTCCAATCCATTCCGAACACGGATAAAAACCTCACTGGTTTCACTCAGATAGATTAGCGTACCTTCTGCTACGAAATGAACCTTTTCCAACATACCCGCAATGTTTTGGAATGTTGTAATCTGTCAAGTAGCAAAAACAAATCATGCTTCATCAAACACACAAAAACACTTTGCAAGTTAAATTTAAGTTTAATTTAAACACAAAAATGTCAAGACTTCTTGCTTGGGAAATGCTCATAAAATCAGTTTTATGTCATTCCATACAAAAACTTCAATAAAAAAGACATATTTTGGCATTACAGAATCATTACTCTCTTGGTTTTATAGAACTACACCAATTGTTAATTTTTCACAGAGTGAGATGATTGTGTCTCTAATGTTTAGCATACAGGATTGAAATGGCCAGAACACAGAAGAGACCTTGATAAGGTTGGCTATGCCTTAGAAATCCCACACACAATTCTAGATACATTTGTGTATCTAAATTCTAGATACATTTTCTCTATGAGAAAATGCAGTTAGCAGAGATATGATACTGTGCTGGGAAGTCATTTACATTCTTGTTAGTTCATTTGATAAGGAAAAGGTTAAAAATGGTAGTGAAACCCCTCTGCTATCTTGAATCTTTTTTTTTTTTTTTTTTCCTTAATAAATTAAGAATATTTAATTTAGAAGTTAACAAGACTGAAGTCTTAGGTGCCATTTTTCCTGGATGGATACCTGGGATACAATTCTCATTTGATTTATCCAGTAAGAAAAGGAAACAATTCAGTTTAAATGTATTATTTAGCGAAAAATTTTAGATTTGTTACAGTTTTCATCTTAGAATCAAGTGACCTGAATGAGTGGTTTTAGTCTAGTGTGAAGTGTTGTTTTTTTTTTTTTTTTTTTCCTTTTTTTTAATGGAAACTGGTCATTCAGAGGTTATTCCAGTATCTTTGCAAGTTACGTTGCAGTTCTTTCAGAACTGTTGCTTTGGATATGGAATATGTACACCTTTCCTTTCTTTAACATCCCATCAATACTTTGCATTTGCTTGAATGGGACTGTTACTAACAAGGAAATGGACAGACTTCTCTCATCACTTTTCCCAGCTCCATGGATTCCATTCTAAAACATGATGAGGTTTAGTAAACAAGAAAAAGATTCTAATAATTAAAAAGGCAGGACTAAGCCTTCTGTCTTCTGTTACTACTACCAGTGACCATGAAAAGATTTGAAACAAGGTTGCTATGGCAAACTTCCATCTTTTGTTGTCTTACCAGATTCCTGCTTACAGGTGGCCCTGGCTCTCCGGGAGGACCTGGTGGCCAGGCATTGCAGCTGCTAAAACAAAAACAAGCATACAACACATGTTGAAGGTCATCTGTTTTGAGAGAGAAAGTGAGTGACATAAATAAAGGACTTGGTGGTGGTGTCTAGGAATAGTGAGAGCTTTAAATGGCCATGGTCCTTATGTAGCCAGCTCTGAATAACTGTGTTCAAGCCAACTATAGCAAATGTATTCTGAGGATTTATTTATTTATTAAGCAATGGTGAAACAATCTTTTCTCTGTTATTTGGAAATTTAAAAGCAACAGCTTAGAATTTGTTGTGGGTATTCTGCAAATGAAGAATCAGATTGACTTAAATTGACCGGAATATTTCTTCTGCTAGCTGCTGTTGATGTGTACTTGGAAGAATTTTTAGCTCCCACCCATATAGGCTTTGAGGGAGTAAATTTATCCTTTGTTCTTAAAGTAAACTAGAATTAACTTTTACTTAGATAAAAATTCACAAGTGTAAGGTCAGCTATTGTTTCAAAGCAACAACGAATTCTCTGGTATGAATCTGAACCTCTAAGACTGTAGTCCACAACATATATTACCTATCTAGTACCTCTCTCTACTCTGGAACTGAATTTTTTCACCTTGGGCTGAAAATCATTGTTTTTTGGAGTAAAAACTACAGGAAAGAAAAAAATATTTGGAAGACTGAAAGCAAAAATATTGTGTGAATTCATATGATAATGGCACATTAAAGCTTCTTAGAAGAAAGACCGTGCAGACCCTAGTGAGCATCATGATGCATCCCAGAGAGGCTCTGTAGCTAAAATCTGGGCAGACCTTTTATAAATCACAAGTAGAGATATTTCTGTGTATAAAAACAGAGACACAAAGTAGGGGCAACAAAATAGGTCCAGAGGTATCAACCAGAGTACACTAGTATACTGCTGGGAGTGTATATAAAAGGCTCAGCAAGAAATACAATTATGAACAGAAAGGCATGATGTGAGCTGGTATGACATGGAAGAAAGAGAAAAAATAGTTGGTGGATACCTGTCAAACTATCTGAAGCATGGGGGAGTCTAACATGTTCCAGCACACTGATGAGTCTGTGGCATAAAATATGCACAAGTACCTAGGTTCACCTCCTTGCCAATTCCCAATTCCTATGTTGCTGGGCACTTGAGAATAGTATCCAGTTGATCTTAGCCATGCAAATAGTCCCATGATCCTAAATGTGGACCAAATTGCTCTTCAAAGTTGAAGGAGAATTATAATAATGTAGGAATATTCCCTGAAACCACCCTTTGGAGAAATTTAGTTGAGTACTTCTGGATAACCTCCCCACAATAATCTAAACTCTACTTATTCAGAGCTTACTGGAGAGTTTGGAATGAGATGGACTGAAGGAGAGTAAAAGAAGATAAGCTATAGGACTGTTTCCTCTGCCTTCATAATTTTAAAGTGAATAAGGATCAATGACCTTCAGTGAAAATAGAGCTATAGATTCCCCCCCACTTTCAAATACTATCAGTGGAGCAAAAGTATCGAATATCTTCTGTTTCACTGTATCTCTCCACTTTGAAGTAGTCTGATAATCTGAATAAAGCATTGTAAGATAAAACTTTAAAATATAGAATGGACCATTGAAGAGTCAGTAAAGCCTAATCCTGAAAGCAGTGCTGCATTCCAGAACTTGATTTTTACCAATTTATAACTTCTGAATTGAGAGGCTGCAATTACATACCAATAAAGCAAAATCTACTATTCAAAACTATTTATTTTTGTGAAGCCATGAGAACCCTCAAAATGGCCTTTTACAAATTAAAGAATTTATGCTCTGAGGATTCTCCAGAGAGAATCTCTTTCATACCAATAGCAGGGAAAACGGGCTTATTTCTCACAAGAATTCAAAGCTATTTATCTGCAGATAAGCCATTCTTCTTTCCTCATATTACAGTATGTGAACTCCATATTGCAGTAAGAGCTTTAACAGAGATAACTAGGTGAAGATACTAAATAAAGAAACAAACACCTGTCACCATAATATTTAGTAAAATGGACATCCATCAGTGTGCTGCCTAAAGAAGCTACTTACAAATCAAAGAGGAAAATGTGTGGAAGGATAATGAAGGCTAAGGGCAGAGTAGATAAGTGAAAGTATAGGGATGGAGTATTAATATATATATGTGTGTGTATATATATATATATATATATATATATTCATCTGACTAGGTCTCTTAGCTAATATTCAGAAGTACTTGATGTGAATTACATGGGAAAAGACCTGACAGCCTTTATGGATGCCATGGATCTGTCAATTTTATTGTGATCAGGGGCTAATCCATGTCCAGGCTATGTTCCAATGTTGAATATAGTAAGGATTACTCATTTGTTCAAATATTCATCAGGGCATGAACACTTCTGGTAAACACTCCATTAATAATATTTGCCAGATGACAGCTTGGAAGTATCACCTTGTCTCTGGGCAGCTGTTTAAACTAGTCTGACTAGGTTCAAGAAATACCTGCAGACTACAAACTGGAGGTGGAGGGGTCTTTTCCCCAGTGCAGCATGCTGAAAGCACAAGTGTTACAGGAAGAAGTCAGATCAATAGGTCTCAGAAACTGAGCTCTGTATTAGCTAGGCCAACCTAAAGTTTAGGCAGAACAGTCATGCATTATAACCTCTCTGTATGGTTAACAATGCCCTTGCTGTTAGCATGTTGCTTTCCTTCAGCTGAGATTAGGGAATGCTTCGTGTTGGAGGGCTGGTTTTACCTTACCAGATTCTTATTCTGGGCACAGTTTCCTGATGGAGGAATCAGTCTCTCAGTCAGGTATCACTGACAAGTTATCCTCTGACATCACACTCAGCAGTGATGTCAAGTGGAGCCCAGGACCATTTCCATCAGAACCTAGTCTAAGGGCTGGACATTAACAAAGAGTCTTGCCACTAACAGACCTGCAAGCCAGAAGGAGTCAAAAGTGCAACTGACTTGAACTCTGACATTTGGTTTAAAGCAATGCAAGGTTGCAATATGTCATCTGAACCTCTAGCACCACCTCGTTAACAAAGCTCCTCCCTCAGATGTTACGACCTGTGACAATTTTTACACCTTTTTCTAATCCAGTAAATTGAAAATGATTAAAGTAACCAAAAGATACAGTAATCAATCCAAAACAGATTTGCTCATATTCAGTGTGCAATAACAACTAGTTTTGAGAAGCAGTTCTCCACCAGTTTCATTTTAGACCTAAAATCTACTGTGAGTACTGCCCTTATATCACAGAAGAGCTTCCTGGCCCACATTAACAGCTTCCCAAATTTAGCCAGTCTAATAAACTTCACAAATATTTCAAGGCAACCTTCCCATGTTATTCTTCCCCTCCTCTGTTACTTCCTCCTAATCACAGTTAAAATAAAATTTTCATGCATTAGTGCTCCCATGGCACTAGTCAATGAAAACTGACTGCAGAGAAATTGTCCCTTTTGTGCTCTCAGTTCCAATACACACCCGTCAGGGAAATAACATCAGTGTGCAGGAAAGAAGGGAGAAACCTGATTCAAGCAGGAAGAATGGATGGGTGGCTAGAAGAGCAGATCCGTAAAGGAAATGGTGAGGAGAGAGGCAGTAAGTATGTATTATAGTATATGTGCTCATACATAGTGAAAAGCAGAATGACACCCTCTCACCTGAGCCATATATTGCAGGGGGTCCTGGTGGTCCTGGTGGGCCAGGCGGGCCAGGAGGTCCAGTTTTTCCATAACCTGGTAGTCCAGGTAAGCCAGGTAACCCTGGAGGTCCTCTGGGTCCAACAACTGAGTCCCCTTTTGGTCCCTATGAATGATAAAAAATACTACCTTGAATGTATCAATTTCACGGCTGCGGTCCTTCATCTCTGGTGGCAACATTTTCTGAAGGCAGGCCACTACACCACTGTTCAGACACGAGTCATAACCATTTTTGAAAACCATGGGAAATGAAAAAAAACAACTATATATTAAACTAAATTAAAGAATTGGAGTTTCAGAAAGCTTTCTGATAGGTCTTACATAGTTAATATATATTGCCTTGACTTGTAATGCTGTTGACAGCATGAATCTACATACTGATTTACTTGTATTAGCCAGCTGAGCACAACACTATACCAGTTCTTCAGAGCAAATTAATTCCAATAGTGAAGTGTCTGTGTTTATGCCTAATGCAAGTCTGTCTCATTAACCTAATGGTTAGCATAGGAGTGTATATATTGTTCTTAACACCATCATGATGATTATTTCTTTTTACAGCCTTCTAAGTTAGAACAATGGGTACCCACAAGTATTCCTGTTATACCATTTATATGACTTACAATTAATCCTGGTCTTCCAGGTGGTCCAGGAGGTCCTGTCAGGTAAAATCCTCTGTTTGGTTCTCCTTTTTCTCCTTTTACACCAGTGTTTCCATTGTCTCCTTTTTCACCCTTTAAACATAACATATTTGAAAGCATTCAGTTGAAGCAAGATCTGAACCTCAGTTGAAGCAAGATCAGAACCCCATGCACTGGTCTTTTAAAGTTGCCTGAAATTTCTGAGATTAATAAAGAAAAGGATCCACTTAAAATCTTTTTGGCATCACTTCCTTCTACAGTGATATGGAATAAAAAAGAATGCCTCCTCTATTGAAGTTGCAAGGACTTCACAGGGAGGAGAGGATTTTCACAAGGATTTTCACAGAAGGATTTCACAGGCTGGGAGAGACAGAGACTGAGTGGAGACAGAGGGAAGTGCCTCTGTTGCTGTTTCCTAGTTCACCCAGAAAAAAACACCTGATCTGTGTTGTAGCTGGAGGCAAAGAGAAAGTTGGAGGAAGCATAAAAGCTTGTTGCTTTTCTCCCACATCAAGGAAAAAGCAAAGCAAGATTGACATGAAATGGACAGATATTTAAAGATATGTTACAAAGTGATGATTACTGCACATAGGTAATTACCACACAAAAGGATGGGTATGTGTACCAGGTAACAGAAGAGACACCACACAAAATTGCAGGCACTTTGAACTGTATCTCTTCTGATTAGCAGCTAGCTGGGGAACAGTGGCAGGTAAGAAGAAGCATTTAAATGCTAGGTCATTATCTTTTGTACGAAGTAAGTCACCTCCATTGTAGGTTCTGACCTCACATTATTTTCTCTTTGTCTGCTGGTTTCTCCTTCCTTCCTTCCTTCCTTCCTTCCTTCCTTCCTTCCTTCCTTCCTTCCTTCCTTCCTTCCTTCCTTCCTTCCTTCCTTCCTTCCTTCCTTCCTTCCTTCCTTCCTTCCTTCCTTCCTTCCTTCCTTCCTTCCTTCCTTCCTTCCTTCCTTCCTTCCTTCCTTCCTTCCTTCCTTCCTTCCTTCCTTCCTTCCTTCCTTCCTTCCTCCCTTCCTTCCTCCCTTCCTCCCTTCCTTCCTCCCTTCCTTCCTTCCTCCCTTCCTTCCTCCCTTCCTTCCTTCCTCCCTTCCTTCCTCCCTTAATATTTTTGGTCTATTTTGGTTCCCATTTTGAGAAATAAAGCTATGTATAGAGGCAGCAAAGGACAATGCAAGAGTGGCAGGTAGCTGGGGAAAGAAATAGAAATGGCTATGTATAGCTCCTCCTCTGAGTCTTCTTCTTTTCTATTCTTTCTTTTTTTTTTTTTTTCTTTCCCTGTAAACAAAAGTATGAAGCTTTATATATGATATGCCATTTTGTAGAGCTGAAGGACTAGATGAAATTGTAGCTAAAGTTGTAAAGCTGCAAACACTGCTTTATTGTATCAGGGAAGCCACAATGGCTCTGCCATGCATGCACTGGACACTTCATGTTATAGAAATAACTTCAGTGCTCTCAGCCAAGCAGGAATAAAATCTGAAAAAAAGACAGCAGTAGGAGTCCTTCAAGGAAACTGACAGTACCCCCACAAGCCCAGTTTTCTATGGCATCATTAAATGATAACTTGATTCTACATTTTTCATATCTTGTTTTGATAAAGAGCAATAACAGCCTTGTTTACATAAAGCATTTAAAATAGTATTGTGTAGGTATTCATTTTTTCACTTAAAGCAATCAGGAGAATAGTGGAACAGAGAGAGACCAAGCACATCATGGTATGGATATGCTTTCTTTTATGAGATCTCAGTAAACGAGCATGGGGAAGCAGACACATGCTTTCCATCACTTTAATTTATTTTATTGATTGTGTTTAAAAGATAAATAGTATTCAACAGAAGCGAATTTCTTGTCATGCATTGATTGTTGGTAATATTTTTTCTAGTCACCCTTTAGGAAATGGATGTCTCTTATCTGAGCTGGCATGGAACAAAAGGCATTTAATTTACAGCAAATAGTTTATATATCAACCTATGTTAGGTAACAGTGAATAATGACTCACTTTAATAATACCACTGGGAAAGGCAAAAAGCCTCACTAATTTTTTTTTTTTTTTTTTCTGTAGTCTTTCAGCCTCTGTAGTAACAGCTATCTCTGTATTTGTAACAAACTTTTATACTCATCTGGAGTTTAAGGAATTAATATAATTTGTAATTGCTGATCCAATTATCTGTTTCATATATTTCACTATTCTGTACTGTAGTATGCTTAATATATAGTATGCTTTAAAAAAAGCTTAAAGAACTCAAACACAAATGAGATATAATTACCTTTATGCTATTAATAAAGTGGCTGAAATATGATGGAGGTAGAGGTGGACCTGAAAAATGAAGAAAATACAGTAAAGTACAGTAATTATCTGTAATTTCCTTTTTAAAAGCACTGCTTTAGGTATTTTTGGCTTAGAAGTTTAAAGGAAAATGATTTACAATGGTAATATTAACCTTTAAATCTAACATTTTTAGTTCAGTTTCCTAATGAAACCATGCTTACATGCTCTGTCTCACTTCTTCACCTTAATAATTTCTGAACCTTACTGTGGATTTCAGTGACATTTGAAAGCAAAGAAGTCTCAAAGATGGTAAGTACTCAGTTTTCTGAAAAATGCTCACTATAATCTCATTATAATGCCAAAACACACCTCCATCCCAAAGGCTACCCATCTCAAAGGTGTGACCACTCCTCACTGAGCATGCACTCTGAATTTCTCTGAGCCTATAACCTTTAAACAAAAGCAAGAAAAATTTGTACCAATCACAAGGAAGGCATGTATGACTAGAGTCACTATACTTTTAGTGACTAGAGTCACTTACTTTTAGGTGGAGCTTGTATGACAAGCTCCACCTAAAAGTAAGAAAATAGTTAAAAAAAATAGCTCAAGAGAGGAAAATGTCAGGGGAAGACACCATCATAGACAAGTTGGAAGGACATTGATGACTTCTGGGATCAGTTGATGGGCTGAACGTCTCTTACCCTCCTGCAGGAACGCCTATTGGGTGAGATTCGAACTCTTGGTTGTACTGAGTGGCTTCCCCAGGCAACCTAGCATTCTCTACAGAGTTGTTTCATAAGTTAGCATGTGTAGTTGATTGTGTTTCTTATATTTTGGTATTGCACGTTTTGCAGACAGTGTATTTATCACCAGCAATCCAAAATAAACCTATCTCTTGTTGCTTCAAAAACTACACCTGTCATTTACTAGACTGAAGATGTATTGTACTATTGTGAAGCCGTGATTGTAATTAATGTGGCCAAACCTTATAGGGCTGATTGTGCTATTTGTGGCAACTGTGATCATGGTATATTGAATGCAACTGGACTTATAGTGCCACTTGGGCATCACTCAGAATCTAAGACCAGCCCCTCAGATATCTGAGGACAAGCTGGAACACAAGGGGGTTTAGGTCCTGCCAAACTTCCTTACCCTTAACAAAAGAGCATTCTATATGTTTTGCAAGCAATGGGGTAGCAGTCAGTACAGCCCACTTCTGAATGAATTACAGTTGTACTATCTTTTGTGCAAGGACACTTTCACAGAATCACAAGAACCATCTAGGTTGGAAAAGACCTCCATGATCACCGAGTCCAACCTCTGACCTAACACTAACAAGTCCTCCACTAAACCACATCACTGAGCTCTACATCTAAACGTCTTTTAAAGACCTCCAGGGATGGTGAACTCAACCACTTCCCTGGGCAGCCTGTTCCAATGCCTAAACAACCATTTGGTGAAAGAAGTTCTTCCTAATATCCAACCTGAACCTCCCCTGGAGCAACTTTTAGCCCATTCCCCCTCATCCTATCACCAGGCATGTGGGAGAACAGACCAACGCCCACCTTGCTACAGCCTCCTTTAAGGTACCTGTAGAGTGTGATAAGGTCACCCCTGAGCCTCCTCTTCTTCAGGCTAAACAAGCCCAGCCCCCTGAGCCGCTCCTCGTAAGACTTGTTCTCCAGACCCTTCAACAGCTTCATTGCTCTTCTCTGGACTCGCTCGAGTACTTCAAATGTCCTTCTTGTAGTGAGGGGCCCAAAACTGAACACAGTACTCGAGGTGTGGCCTCACTAGAAGCTGAGTACAGAGGGACAATCACTTCCCTAGTCCTGCTGGCCACACATAACCAACAAGAAAAAGAACCAAGGTTACTGCCATTTTGCTGATCACAGAACAACTGTTCTTTGACATTTTTCTGCAAGAAAAAACCAGTACCAGTACCAATGGTTGTAACAGCTGTGCTGTGTTGTCTGCCAATGGTGGTCAGCCAAAGCAAGTCAAGCCAGCACAAGTCTAAGAAGTCTTCAAATATTCTTTGTTTGGGATACACTTGGAAAATGAATGTTTTACAGCTGCCAGTAACAGCTGGGGACATTTTCATAGAATCATAAAATATCCCGAGTTGGAAGGGACCCATAAGGATCATTGAGCCCAACTCCTGGCAGCACATGGGTCTATCCAAAAATTCAGACCACATGACTAAGAGCACAGTCCAAATGCTTCTTAAACTCCAACAGGCTTGGTGCAGTGACTACTTCCCTGGGGGAGTCTGCTCCAGTGTGTTACAACCCTCTCATTGAAGAACCTCTTCCTGATATCCAGCCTGAAGCTCTTCTGTCACAGTTTGATGCCATTTCCTATCACTGGTCAGTAAAGAGAACAGGTCAGCACCTGCCCCTCCACTCCCCCTCGTGAGGAAGCTGTAGACCATGATGAGATTCCCCCTCAGCCTCCTCTTTTCCAGGCTGAACAGGCCTAGTCACCTCAGCTGCTCCTCGTATGTCTTCCCCTCTAGGGCCCTTCACCATCTTAGTACTTTGTCCATCTGGACACTCTCCAACAGTTTAATGTCCTTTCTGTACTGTGGTGCCCAGAACTGCACACAGTACTCGAGGTGAGGCTGCACCAGCACAGAGTAGAGCGAGACAATCACTTCCCTCAACTGACTAGCAATGCCGTGCTTGATGAACCCCAGATACGGTTGGCCCTCCTGGTTGCCATGGCCCTCCTGGCAGCCATGGAGGCTGCCATTTCTTCAAATGTGTTCTGAACTTTGGGTGCAACACTGTTCCAGCCATAGGTCTCAGATCTCAGTATATTATCTCAGATAACGTAGATATGTAGATAGTGTATACATCTGTACTCTGGGACAGAAATGTATTGCCAGTGTGGTAGCTATTTTGATTTTATTTGAATCCTGACAGCTATTGCTCAATCTATGAGAGGGGATGGAGAATAGACAGTATATTGGTAGGTGTCCTTCTCAGATGTTGCTTAGTATTAATTTCTGTGTTGGGTAATATTTTAGGATTTTTCCTAGGAGATCTTTCAAGCAGACTAGGTCTATGCAAAGTATGTGAGGAATAGGGAGGGCATCACTCTAAAATAGAACCCAAAAACTCGTGGTAGGGAACCAGTGGAAAAACAGGAGTGGCTTCAGAAAGGATAGAGGAACTGTGATCCGGGAGCTTAAGGCTAGCTCTGCCTATACTGGTACTCCTACATCTTTAGCCCCATGATCAAATAGCATAGCTTTTATCCATACAGCTAAACTGTCTTCCTCACTCCCAAAACAGGAGAAAGTTATCCATACAGCCTATTGTACCAATCCTTCAGTTAAGCTGTCTCCCATGGTCTTGGAAAGTGTTATTTATTTTAGGCCAAATGTTGGCCAGGAAACATGCTAACATTTAAACTGCAGGACAACGATCTCATGTCCTGGCCCTGTTTGGTTTACACAGCCAGAGAAGTTTGCCTGACATGACTTCTCAAGGGTTCACCTAGTCCAGTCCTCTTCTCTAGATATTCAGTGGAGGGCTGATAGGCAATTTTTTGTAGGACCTTTGGGGATCTTAACACCAACCAGAGGGAAACATGCTAATTGCATAGCCTGTGCTGGCAGACCAGACATTTTCATTTTGCTTTGTTTTCTGATGTTGCTGAAACGGACTAATAGCACTTTGCATGGGCATTATCAATAGCAAAATCACACCTCACAATGATCATAAAGTTACAGAACTTTGGTGCCCTTTCTTTTAGAGAAAGCCGTGATGCTTTCTGATCTGGGATCTGATTTATAAATGAACTCAGTCCCTGGAGCAACAAAATTCATTACAGGAATTAGTGCTTGCCCAGTGAGATGCTGTCTTGTTCCCCATCTGCTTTTCCTTTAATTCCATTCCTTTCAGTATTCATGAGAAGGAGGGTGAAACTTCTTCATAAAGAAAAGAAAGTCTCAGGACAAACAAGAAAAAGGGTGGATTTGGATGAGTATTGAAACTTGTCCAGAATGCCAGGTATGAATGTGGCCTGGCAGGAAGGAAGGATCAAATGCCAGTGTACTGCAATAAACACTGCATTTTAGATGAGCAGATCTTCAACTTTAGGCAACTGGGTCTGAGATTATGATACCATGAATTCTTCTCCTCTGTCTCTAAATGGGTTTCCTTACATGGCCTCAGACAGTATTCCTTCAGCCAGAAATAATGATGTTGTGTTGGAATGTTGCATATATGATTGGAACACTGTGCCTATGTTCTGGATACTCACTATACCTGCCTTTATACAGAGTAGTTATATAAATTGCGGCCTGCCAAATATCCATGCTTTCTATGCTGGCTTCATGTTTTTGCAAGCTATCAATTAATGGAGTCTGTCTGTAAGGTTAGAGGGATGACATTTGGGGTAGAGGAAAAATAAATCCACTGGATGAATAAATGGCAGAGTTCAGAAAGCTTTTCAGATTGCTGTGACTCAACAGATAGTGAACTGGAAGGACCTTCAATTGTCTGTCCCCAAAGAAGGTTTTGAAAATTTCCTATACTATCATGTTCTACTATCCTGCAATTTCTGAATTGCGAATTTCCATTGTCAAAGGTTGTGTAGGTATCTATAAGACCTACAGAATGGATTTGTATAAAAGAACATTTTAGCAGTTACATCAGCTGACATTCTTTTAGGAGGAAGATTTAAACAAGAGAGTTTAACCAGAATTATTGTATAATTTTCTCCATCCTCTCTAGTTGCAGTTTTATAACAAAATCATAAGCATAATCCTCTGCTTCAGAAGTACCCCTGAAATCATCAGGTACAGACAAAAGTAACTGTAGGACATTGAACTACATTAAATACAAAGTCTGGGAATTAACAGACATTGACAGTGGATAAACCAGCACAGAAGAACAGAATCTTAACCTCTGTATAGAAATCTTTCTTGCTCCTTTTTTTTTTTTTTTATAAGTCTATTGATGATGAGGAAGCACTAACTGCTACGTCAGAGCACTGGACATTGATCAGAATGAAGATTAATAAGGACAAGACAAGAAAGCAGATTTGATTACAACAAACAGAATGTCCTCATAAACATAACCAAATATCTTAAGTCAACAGAACTGTGGCTTTGGAACAAAGACAAAATATCCATGTATATACAATTTTGTATTAATTATGAACACATTAGAGGACAAATATTATAAATATGGTATAGGAACATTAATTTGATGTACAGCTTCTTCTATTTTGAATGATTGCTGGCACTGACCAAAGCCTTATCTCAGTATATGAGATTTCAAAAAATATAGTAAAAAGGAAGAATTTGTAATAGCAATCTTTTCAAATAGATGCTTGTTTCTATAACTATTTTTGAATGTGTAAGAATTAGCAATATGTATCAACTTTTTGATATAGAAAAGTAAATCTTTGGTAAGCAACATCTGTTGTGATGCTCCTAGCACAAGTGAATTGATAATTTAGCTCTCATACTTTTCATGATTATGGCAAATAAAGCATAGAATATTAAAAAGTTGGTTGAAATGGAGGTGGTCGAGTTCTGGAATTGGGACTATCACCAACAAATGGCTGCCTTGAAATCAGAATGCAGAGGTATGTTGTCCTGAAAGGGATAACACTGCATTTTAGTCCAGTTGGCTCAAAACAAAACTCTGACAACAAAATAATGTCTCAGGAAGTGGGTGTGATGTTCTTCTAAGATGTCAGAAAATCTCTAACCAGCAAGATACATTTCAATATCTGTTCATGTACTGAACACACTCATAATAGGTTCACAAATGTGCAGTACAGATAGTTCTTTTCAGAGGATACATTACAGGCTTTGTTGTTCTGCACCTCAGTTCAGCAAGAAAATAAGTGTGTCTTTAGGCAGGTAAAGGTACTTTGCTGTACTGCTTTTAAGTTAAACACATGATCCTTTAGAGGGTATCAGTGACATATCTGATTTAGTATACCTGGTGGTCCTGGATCACCTCTGTCTCCCTTTTCTCCTTTTAAGTCTGGTGAACCCCCAGTGGACTGCAGTCCCCAGCAATCTCTGTTTCCTTTAGCACCTGTCATAAAAGCATCACAATGAAACAAAATTCACGAGAACTTTCAAGCAACAGAGACTGCAGAAGTAACAACCAAACCACTGATAGTAAGAGCAGATTTTTCATACGTGCAGGGCTTTTAATTCCACTCCCTATATGCTTGTCTCACTGTTCTCATTAATATTGAATGGCTGGCTGGCTCATTGTCCTCTCTTGTTTATCAATCCCAACATGTACAAAATAATCTTTCTTTTACAGATCAGTCTTTCACTCTCCTTTCCTTAATCACCTAGCCTTTGACCCTCTGAACCAACCTGTTCTCATTGCATTTGTGAATTTCATGGGGCAAGAGCAGAAATGGTTCTTACATTATGATTTTGATACCAAAACTGCTATCTCTAGATTTTGAAAAAAAATAGTATCTGTAATGTTCAGCTGCTCCTCATAAGACTTGTGTTCCAGACACTTCACCCTTCATTGCCCTTCTCTGGACACTCTCCAGGGCCTCAATGTCCTTGTAGTGAGAGGCCCAAAATTAAACACAGTACTCAAGGTGCAGCCTCGCTAGAGCAGAGTACAGGGGGACGATCACCTCCCTAATCCTTCTGGCCACACTTTTTCTGATAGCAAGCCAGGGTATCTTTGGCCTTCTTGGCCACCTGAGCACACTGCCAGCTCATATTCAGGCAAGCATCAACCAACAGCCCCAGTTCCTTTTCCTCTGCATAGCTTTCCAACCACTCTTCTCCCAGCCTGTAGCATTGCTTGGGGTTGTTGTGCCCCAAATGCAGGACCCAGCACTTAGCCTTGTAGAACCTCATACAGTTGGCCTCGACCCATCAGTCAAGCCTATCCAAATCCCTCTGTGTAGCCTTCCTACCCTCGAGCAGATCAGCACTTGTGCCCAACTTGGTGTTGTCTGCAAACTAACTGAGGGTGCACTCAATCTTCTCATCCAGATCACTGATAAAGATATTAAAGAGAACGGGCCCCAGTATTGATCCCTGGGGGATTCCACTTGTGACTGGCCTCTGGATGGATATTTCTCCAATCACCATGACTCTTTAGACCCAGCCACCAGAACAGTTTTTAATGCAATGAAGCGTACACCTGTCCAGGCCTTGAGCAGCCAGTTTTTACAGGAGAATGCTGTGGGAAATGGTGTCATAAGTCATACTGAAGTCTACGTAGACCTAATCCACAACCTTTCCCTCATCCACTGCTCAATTTATAAGCTAGCCTTTGAAGTGTATCCCTATACTCATTTATTCTTTGGCCTGCATGTTGAGAATGGACCAAGATATCAAGATATGATATTATGGATTCAGCAGAACAAGTGAGACTATCATTTTTTTTTTTTCCCTCATGAAACCAGTTATGCAACACCCCCCCCCCCAAAAAAAAAAAAAAAAAAAAAGGTGTTTTTAGTTCATAATAAGAACAGTTTATTTAAACCATGCTGCAAGAATTACTCACCTTGGACATTAAGAGCTTCTTCATTCCCAGGGTAAGTAGCGCTCACCTACATACAAAAAGAAATCTATTAGAACTTATCTATACACATTAATTGATGGAAGTGCATCACTTAGTGTGACTGGAAAGGCTGGAATATTTGCATGCTATCACAGTAAGTGTTATAACAGCACTCTGTGCTCATCTCCAGTTTGGCAGGTTTCGAGTATTAACTAATCAAGCCTTTTTCAGGATTGTGCTATCTTAAGCATGCAACATGCTTTCAGTAAGAGCGTAACAGCATGCACTTTGGAGGCACTAGCAAATCCCAGTCTCAGTCATGCTAGAGAAACATCAGAAGACTTATTCTCCAAGAACAATTCTAAATTTACATCACTGCATTTGAAAGCAGGATTTGATATTTGATTGTATGATAACAGAATATAGTTGTAATTTTTTCATCAGACCATGGCTAGGCCTACTCTCTGATGTTGACCTATACTCCAGATGCATTGAAATCACAATGGGGAGAAACTTATTTTAGTGTATCCTATTCTGAGTCAATTCCCCTGTAACAATACTTCTACCACCTGTCTTCAAAACAAGGACAGTGCAGGAATTAAAATGTGGCACACTGCTTGGAAATAGACAGACCTTAGTACTAACTAGTACTATTTATATGAATTTAAACAAGCATACAAAGAAAATCAAACATATGTGTGCTGCATATGGCTAATACTGCAGTATTAGCTCTTAGGAGTCTTCAGTCACATGGATAGCTCCTTTAAATTCAGAAATTCACTTCACATGAAGAACACTTATGAGATTTAGTCTGTAGTTCTTTATGGATATACATTTATATAGGCATGTGCAGCAGACTTCTTATCTATATACTTGGAAAGGTTTAGATTATCCACAAATGTATGTCAAAGCTATCTAGTGTATTCAGATGCATGAAGAGGTATTTATAACTACTGGCTTTATTACTTTTACATGTAAAATTCACTTTTATTATTCAGTGATTATAACCTTATTGAAAAGTGACTTTTTATTATTATCTAAAACTCAGCTAAAATAGGTTTGCATTGTTTGAATCGTTCCACAGAGGCATCCAAAACTTGAGTTTGGAAGGGATTTCTGGAAGTTGTCTAGCCCAGAGCAGGATCAACTACAGCAGGTTGCTCGGTGCAGTCCAGTCAGGTTTCAGAGATGAGGCTGACTAACCCAGAACTTTTGTGTGAATGTGAGAAAAACATACCAGAATGTTATACAGTAGGAATAGGAAGATTTAAGGGAGGAATTCAATGAGGTAAAATGATGTCTACAATAGTGGGCCAAACCCATAGGAATGTGAAATTACCATGGAGTAATGACTATTTATCATTAATTAACAGAAAGATCAGAAAGATACATTACCTGGGATAAATCTTTCTTGAACAGTAAATGGTGTGATGAGTGTCAATGCATCTAGTATAGTCTAAGTCAAGAGCTGCTTTTCTAATATGAGTAAAAAAGGACTATAATGGAAACTGGAAGAGAAGAGCACAGTACTATTTTGAACTATACTGTCTAACAGAAAACTAGAGCAGCCATACCATGCATCAGACTATTCAGGGGAAGACCGTGGTGTTCAAAGACAGAATCCTTTCCAAGTATGTAGCCCACAGGTTAGCAGTATAATATTGTCCTAGGAAGAGTAATCCCAGGATTAAACTGTGTCCACAGTTCATTGTAGGATGTGAATTTCCATTACATGTTAAGCAAAAATTGCATCAAAGTGTTCTGAAAACATGAAAACTCTTTCCTTTCTTTTGACACTGAGTATGAAATTACAGTTCCTTTGAAGACAATGAAGGGTGTTGTCATTTACTTTGGAAAAGTGTGGCAGAGCTTCACCTGGTGGCTTTCTTGTGATAATTTTTTATCATAGAATGATTTGGGTTGTAAGAGACCCTAAAGATTATCTAGTTGAAACCCCCTCCCATAGGCAGGGATATCCTCCACTAGATTGGGTCGTATCAAATCTGATCTTGAACACTTCTTTTAGTTTAAAACCGTTACCCCTTTTCCTTTAAGTATAGTCCCTGATAGAGAGTCCCTCTCCACCTTTCTCAGACACACAGACTTGCTGAGGGGGCACTCTATCCCGTTGTCCATGTCACCAACAAGGATGTTAAATAACACCGGTCCCAATACAGACCTCGAGGGCATCAGTCATTATTGTTCTCCACCTGGATTGAGCCATTGACTGCAACTCTTTTAGTATGACCATTCAGCTAATTCCTTACCCACCACATGGTCCATCCATTAAATCCGTGTCTCAACATTTTAGAGACAAGACTGTTGTGTGGGACAGTACCAAACGCTTTGCACAAGTCCAGGTAGTTGCCATCAGTTGCTCTTCCCTTATCCACTAATGCTGTAACCCTGTCTTAGAAGGCCACCAAATTTTTCAGGAATGATTTGCAATTAGTGAAGCCATGTTGGCTGTCATCAATCACCTCTTTGTTTTCCAAGTGCCTTAGAACATTTTCCAGGAGAATCTGCTTTGTGATTTTATTGGAGACAGAGGTGAGACTGACTGGCTTGTATTTCTCTGTGTCTTTCTTTTTCCCTTTTTAAAAATGAGGGTTGTCTTTCCTCTTTTCCAGTCACTGGGAACTTCATCAGACTGCTATGACTTTTCAAATACGATAGATAGTGGATTAGCAACTTCATCTTGCTAGTTCCCTCAGGACCCTCAGACATCTCATCAGCTCATGCACATTCAGGTACCTTAGAAGGTCTTAAACCTAATCTTCTCCTACAGTGGGAAGCATTTAATTTTCCCCAGCCCCTTCCTTTGGGATTCTGTGAATTGGTGATGTGGCTAGAGCACTTGCTGGTGAAGACTGAAGCATAAATGTCATTGAGTACCTCGGTGTTCTCCATATCCTGGGTAACCAGGTCTCCATTTCTTTTAGCAGAGGGCTCATATCTTTCCTATTCTTCTTGTTATCACTGATGTACTTGTAGAAGCCCTTCATGTTGCACTTATTGTCCCTGGCCAGATTCAATTCTGTCTGGGCTTTGGCTTTCCTAACTTGACCCCTGGCTACTTGGACAATGTCTCTGTATTCCTTCCAAACTACTTGTCCTTGCTTCTATCCTTTGTAGGCTTCCTTTTTGTGTTTACATTTTCCAGGAGCTCCTTGTTTATCCATGCGGCCTCCTGGCATTTTTGCCTGACTTCCTCCTTGCTGGGATGCATTGCTCCTGAGCTTGGAGGATCCTTGAGTATTAACCAGCTTTCTTGGGCCTCTCTTCTCTCTAGGGCTTTATCCCACAGTACTCTACAAAGCAGATCCCTGAAGAGTTCCAAGTCTGCTCTCCCAAAGTCCAGGGCTGTGAGTTTGCTGTGCACTGACCTAAGAATCTTGAACTCCACCATTTCATGGGCACTGCAACTATGGCTTTCTTTTACCTTCATATTTCCCCAAAGCCTCTCCCTATGGGTGAGAATGAGGTCCAGCATATCACTTCTGTTCATTGGCTCCTCTATGATTTGGAGAAGGAAATTATCATCAATACCTTCTGGGAACCTTTTGGATTGCTTATGGCTTGCTGTGTTGTCTATCCAACAGATATCGAGGGGGTTGATATCTGTTGATATCCCCTCCTCATCCCCCCTGCCTGTCCTTCCTAAATAGCCTGTATGCTTCCATTACAACACTCCAGTCATGAATTATATGTGAATAGTCTGCAATTGAGGGTCAAGTAAGGACTGTGATTTTTCTTTTCTGACACACTTTTTATGCCAGACTGAAATATATAAGGTGTCTTATTTTGGACGGGGAAATTGAAAACAGAAAAAGACATAACAATGTGGAGACATTATTTATATGTACTTCTGAAAGATACATGTACATGTATGTATAAATATTCGCTCCCCAAAGCAACTCTCAGTCTATGGAAACATGGAGCTCTGAAAGCCATTAAAAGAGTTCGGACAACCAAGTAATCAAAGTGCTTTAAGCAAGAGGTTTCAGTTAGTTCTGTTATATATGTGGCTAACTTTGAATATTTAAACATTTGAAAATCTGTTATCTTGAAGACTAGGTAAAACATCTCCTTGGTGTACAGCAGAAGGCAGGGGGAGTAAAGCTGCAGAGATACTGTAGTTATGCATGTAGCTGTTTTGGTTATGTATTGTCATGGGCATGCATCTTGCTAAGAGCAAATTCTGTGTGTGACTTACTGTCATCTTGCAATGAGGTCTGCGAGATACTGGGAAAACTGTCTATTGAAAATAAGAAGGGAAATAAGTTTAATAAATGTAGGCAATAATAATCCAGAAAACACACCAAACAGTTAGATCTAATAGACATGACAAGACAAAGCTAGAAAGTAAAAAACAGCACCTCACAGAGTCCTGTTTTCTTCCTGGGAGCTCTCATGGTTCTGTCAGCATAGAATCATAGAAACATTAAGGTTGGAAAAGACCTCCAAGATCATCTGGTCCAACTGTCCCCCTACCACCAATGTCACCCACTAAACCATGTCCCTATGCACCAGGTTGAGCCTTTCCTTGAACATCCCCAGGGACGGGGACTACACCACCCCCTGGGCAACATGTTCCAATGCCTGACTACTCTTTCTGAGAAGAAATGTCTCCTAATTTCTAACCTAAACCTCCCCTGGCACAACTTGAGGTGATTCCCTCCTGTCCTATGACTAGCTATCTGTGAGAAGAGGCTGACTCCCAGCTCCCCACAAATTCCTTTCAGATAGTTGTAGGGAGCAATAAGGTTACCCCTAAGCCTCCTCTCCTCCAGGCTAAACAACCCCAGCTATGTCAGCCTCTTCTCATAAGACTCATGTTCTAGACCCCTCAACAGTTTCATTGCCCTTCTCTGGACACGCTCGAGCACCTTGATGTCCTTCCTATAGAGAGGGGCCCAAAACTAAACACTCAATGTGCACTCAACGTGCTGCCTCACCAGATCAGAGTACAAGGGGACAATCACTTCCCTAGTCCTGCTGGCTATGCTGTTTCTGATACAAGCCAGGATGCTGTTGGCCTTCTTGGCCACCTGAGCACACTGCTGGCTCATGTTCAGCCAACTATCAACCAATACTCCTAGGACCTTCTCTGCCTGGCAGTTTTCCAGCCACTCATCTCCCAGCCTGTAGCACTGCTTGGGGTTGTTGTGCCCCAGGTGCAGGACCCGGCACTTGGCCTTGTTGAACCTCATACAGTTGGCCTCAGCCTATCGGTTCAGCCTATCCAGATCCTTCTGCAGAGCCTTCCTACTCTTGAGCAGATCAACACATGCACCTAACTTGGCATCGTCTCCAAACGTACTGAGGGTGTATTCAATCCCCTCATCCAGATCATTTATAAAGATACTGAAGAGAAAATATTGAAGAGAAGATAGCTAAGAAAAACAGGACAAGCAGTGTGAAATCAGTAAAAACAAAAATCACGAGCCCTCTGGTCATGACAGAAGAAAGAAAAAAAAAAAAAAGGAGAAATTAACGTACGGTCAAATAAAATTGTACATGTGTGGTATAGAAAGGCGTTGAGTAGTTTGTGAACCTGTAGTACTCAGCCGATGAAGAAACAGGGGAGGAATCAAGCGTCGGGTAATAGGGAATATAATGTTATGATGTATATAGACCTTTACTAGGTGCTCCTGCTTGCAGGATGCCCACCATTGCACTTGCAAATAAAATAGCTTCACAGAAGGCCCTGTCTGAAAAAAATATTGAGATTTTTCTCACACCACTAAGATATTAAAGAGGATGGGCCCCAACACTGACCCCTGAGGAACACCACTTGTGACTGTTCGGTCACCAACTGGATTTCATTCCATTTACCACTACTCTCTAGGCCCAGACGCCCAGCCAGTTTTTAACCCAGCAGAGTGTACCTGTCCAAGTCATGGGCTGCCAGCGTCTCCAGGAGAATACTGTGGGAGACTGTATCAAAGGATTTGCTGAAGTCTAGGCAGACTACATCCTTTCCCTCATCCACCAGGTGGGTCACATAGAAGGAGATGAGGTTGGTCAGGCAGGACTTGCCTTTCATGAACCCATGCTGGCTAGGCCTGGTTGTCCTGTGTATGCTGCGTAATTGCATTCAAGATGACCTGCTCCACCACCCTTCCCGACACTGAGGTCAGGCTGACAGGCCTGTAGTTCCCCGGGTCCTCCTTATGGCCCTTATAGATGGGTATCATGTTTTCAAGTCTCAGGTCATCCGAGATCTCTCAGTACTTATTATTGTGTGTTCCAGTCTTCATGTCTGTCATGAGACCAGTTGAATGAATTCTGTTCATAAGAACAGAGTTGCAGCATGTCCCAGTCTATATGTGTGGGGCAAAGCTCTTACATCACAGTGGCTTTTTGTAGCATTAAAGCCTAAAGTAGTTGAGAGTGATGCCCAATTAGTCATTATGTCTGTCACATTCAGGGTACTGAACTATCACTATTATGGATGCACAAATAACGTAATACACCCTCAGTCTTGTTGCGTTCCATGAACTACAACAGCCACACTTAAAGAGTTTGGTCATGTTCAATCAGAACTACCACAGCTAGATTAATGAGTTGTACAATTTATTGAAGGAACAGGTACACAGGTTCTTTGGATTGCTGGTGATAAAATCACCTTCTGCAAAGTATGTGCAAATACCAAAAATATGGGTAACATAGTCTGGCTACAAACACGTTAAAAGATATCAAGCGACTCTATAAAGATTTCTAAGTTTCCTAGGGAGGCACTTGGCATAACCAAGTGTTCAGATCTTACCCAGTCAGTTGACTGATCCCAGAAGTCAGAAGGTATCTTTCCTTACATGACGGTATCATCCCTAACATCCTCTCTCCCTTAAGCTAATTTATATTATTTTCTACCTTTTAGGTGGAGTTTGAGTGACTCTAGCCATGCATACCTTTGTTACGAATGGTTCAAAATTTTCTCTCTTTGCTTTTAAAGGTATAGACTAGAAAAAATTTTAGCACAAGCTCAGTGAGGCATGGTTACACCTTGGAGGTGGGTAGCCTTTGGAATGGAGGTGTGTTTTGGTATTATAATGATATTATAATGAGTAAAGTTCACGAAAAGGACAGCATTTTGTCAAAAATATGACAGACTGTTGGCCCAGGATACCAAATGTGCAGCTTATCGGTTTCAGTGTGCACAAGAACAATCAAGTTCGTATCTTATCACAGATCCTGGCTATGGTGTCTCCACTCTGCCCCACCCACCACACAGTTCCTCTTAGAGTCAGCACACAAAGTTCCCCTGGTGTGATCAACATCTAAGGTTGGAAGCTTAAGGAACTTCTGTGTGGTGCAGCTACATTCCACCCTGGAATCTTCTTCGATGCCGTACCTTTTCTTTAAAACGGGAATATAAGTTTTAATTTCTGAGTCACCTCAGGCAATTACTCCATACTCTTGTTATGAGATTTCTTCCTACGCATGCAAGCAAGGTGGCCCACAGTAAATGCTGTTGCCTGAAACAAGTTTTGAGGTTTCGCTTTGCAAACCATTTCAAGAACAGCACATTTCTGCTACAGAGACAGAACAGAAACTGTTCAGTGTACTTACTCCTTTGATGTAAACTATACGTCCTGGACGTCCAGGGGGCCCTGGGGGTCCAGGCAAGCCAGGCATGCCCTGGTAAAAGAAAGTGAAGTAAGGAAGACATTACACAGATCTTTTCATATGCAGTACAACTGGGCCTAGGGAAGGAAGGACAAGGGGCTTAGAAGGCTCTGTTTAACCAAGAAGTTATATGTGAAATGTCTTGAGGGAAGGCTGAGCATTCAGTTAGAGGGACCAACCTAAGCTGGAAAGTGAATTTTAATATTTAGCCTAAAGTACTCTATGGAGAACAAAGCAGCCTAAAATTGCTATTTCCAGGGAAAAATAAGCAAGCAAACATCCAACTCCCAAGCCCCAAAGCACTATAAGTTGAAACTAAATTAAAGTCAGTGGTTCTACCATTTAAAGATAATTAGGTCTTCAAGACTGACCTGGGACTCTCAGGACTGATGAGATTCATATACTTCAAAGTGCCTGTCAGATAACTCTACACTAATTAGCATCTTCAAGGAATCCTGCTACACTGGAGGCATGACTGCCCTTTACAAAAACTATGCCAAGTCTTTACCGTGTCATTTAAAAATTTGGCACCATGACATGTCCATGTTTCACTCTACATTGATGCACACTTCAGTGAGGTGTCATATGTCACCATATAAATAACTATTCTATTGGATCTATTGGATCTATTGGATTTTATCTTCCCCAAGCACTGAAGGAAAAACTATTAGAACGTGCAACCTGTTTTGCTTGCCTGTTTGCTTTAATGGCCCATCCTGATAAACTTCATCTGATAACAATTGCTTTAATAGTTTTTGTTTGGCTAGGGGAGACATTCCAGAAAATTAACCTTGACACTGTTTAAAGATATGGAGAAACTGAAAATCTATTTAATGTTTTCTGCCAGAGGCTAGTCATCTTTTCTGTATTTTTGTCTAGTTATAATTTGTCTAATCTGCCAGACTTCATCTTCCAGCAACTAAATTTCTATTGACTAGATCATCTCTTCTAATACCTTGCTGATCCATACCTTCCTATGATTTCTATGGTAATGCAGTAAGGTTCCCTTATCTATTCTTTTTTTTCTGCATATCTTAGATACAGATGAAATATTATTATTACCTGCTGTTGTGGTTAGAGTACATTTTTCTTTTTCAGCACAGATCAGCCCATGATGTCAGAACAACTACAAGAAGTACTCTGCCAAGTAAATAAATACTCTAGTCTGAAACGTGCTGCTTATGCTCAGCAGTATTTATTGATGTGTGTTTTACAATTCTTCATGTCTGTCATGAGACCAGTTGATTTAATTCTATTCATAAGAACAGAGTTGCTGTGCCAGAAGAGAGTTGCAGCATTCATTACTTGTCATTCCATAATTACAGGATACAGGTGGGCATGTTTGTGCAATCATCTTGCAAACACTGTATGGTGGTCATTATCCTGGATACATGTACATGAATATCAAAGCAGGTAATAGGTATCAGCAACCATCTCCTCGTTAGTCAGGTAGATGACACTTAATTATGATATGCTTAAATGCTGCTTGCACATATTCAAGACATCTAAAAGCCTATGGAAGTATCTTCACACCATGAAGATCCTATGTATTTGTAGAAAGAATTTGGCAATCCCAGATCATATGCTATTTGAACAACCTATGCTAACAGTGAATTGCATGCAACTTTTACACCTGGGATCTGATACAAAGATCTATATCTGTAAGAACTGTCCAGGTGGCCTCAGAAGTTGACTTTCTGATGACTGTTATCACATAGGAATAATAGCAGAAGCATATAATCATTTCAAGCTAATTTCAGCTTTTTCATCCCATCATCATTTCAAAGAAATTCATAGAAACCAGACTTGACAAGACTTCAACAAGATTTATTTCAATTAATTGTAATACATAAAAACTTACATTTAATGCTTCACCTCGTTCACCTTTCACACCTCTTAGTCCATTGAGTCCTGGGCGGCCCTGAAATAAGTACACATAACAAAAGAGTAGAAATAGTGCAGTAGGTGCCTGAACCAAGCTTCCGTACTTTTATTCCATTTGAGAGCTTAATACATACTGGTCGTCCTGGGAAGCCAAGTTCTCCTTTAGGTCCAGCAGGTCCTATTGGTCCCTGGACAGAAAAGAAAAAATGATTGTGGAGAAAAAGAATAAAATTGAACAAATAATGTATGGAAGAAATCTTTGGCACAGATTTGGTTATTTAGAAATAGAGGCATAGTGTTACATTTGTGTTAAGTCAGTCTGTGATTATTTGCCCACAATGCACAGAATGTCCTGTCTATTTCCTCAGAATGTCCTCTCTATTTGCTCTTCTAAGTGATCTCAGAAGCTGGAGAGGTCTGCATATAACAGAGAAGTCTGGTTTGGAAAAGACTGGCTATCTGAAACGAAGCCTGAATTTTCTGCCATTTATAATGTGTGTAGTTCAACACTAAGTTGCCATGTACCAAAGCAAAATTAAGTACATCAGTCAATGGAAAAAAGGCAGTTAAAGGCGTATACTTTGTGCACCTGCTTTTTTTTTTTTTTATATAATTTTTTTTTGAATCAGACACTATGGGGAAATGTCTGTGGATTAGACTGAGACTTCCTATAGTGCCAGACTTCTTGCCAGCCTGGATACATGGACTTAAGTGGATCATAATTGAAACAGATCCTTCTTTACACAAGAGTTACCCATCAGACCACAAAGACTGATAAAAGAGACTTCAGAACTAAAAGGCAAGCAGGTCACCCAGGAAAAGTAGTCCAGGACCATGGATTATCTGTGATTTGGTATTTGCAAGCACATGACTTCTAGGCAGCTAGGGGTAACATTAACAAAAAGCAGTAAACTGGTGAACACCACAAGCTTTAACCTGCAGTCAACTTCCTAAAACTCAACAAAACCACAAGAGTCTAGACAGTCTCTTTACTTATGAGTCAGCTTTTCTAGTTTCATTTCCTTTTTTTTCCAGCCTGGTGAAATACTAAAGAATTCGCCTTCTTGAATTATTGCACTTGTATTTTAACTACACTCATTGTTCCACATGTACATGGAGAAGATGAAGGCTACATATGAATTGGATGCATAAAATCTGAAAGTAAATCTTCTAATACCTTGTACTGGGTCTGGCACAGTCCCCATTCCTGGGGGTGTTTAAGGAAAGGCTGAACATCGTGCTTAGGGACATGGTTTAGTGGGTGATGATGCTGATGGTAGGGGGACGGTTGGATCAGATGATCTTGGAGGTCTTTTCCAACCTTAATGTTTCAATGATTCTATGACCTCATTGCAATCACGGAGACATAGTGGGATACTTCACATGACTGGAATGCTGTCATGGAAGGCCACGTGCTTTTTAGAAAAGACTGGCCAGGAAGGCAAGGTGGTGGGATTGCTCTTTATGTGAGAGAGCAACTGGAATGCATGGAGCTCTGCCTAGAGGTGGATGAAGCAACTACAAGCCAGTCAGACACCTCCATCTCTGGAAAGAAGATGAAGCAGCTCTTTCTTGAGGTGCATCTCCAGGCATGTGGAAGATAAGAAGGTGATCAGGAGTAGTCATCAAGGGGAAATCATGCTTAACCTATGTGATAGCCTTCTATGATGAGATAACTAGCTGGGTAGATGAGGGGAGAGCGGTGGATGTGGTCTATCTTGACTGCAGCAAGACTTTTGACATTGTCTCCCATAACATCCTCATAGAGAAGCTCAGGAAGTGTGGCCTAGATGAGTAGACAGTGAGGAGGATTGGTAACTGGATGGATAGCAGAGCTCAGAGGGTTCTGAGAGATTCTGTGAGAGCTTCTGACAGAGCTTTAGTGCATACCAAGTGGAACAGAGCTATTGACACCAACGCTTTGATAAATTATGCCACAGAAGGTGTGGCTAAGCACTCTGAAATTTCTATATTAATGCTGCACAGGACTCCCACTGACTACAAAAGATTTTTTTTTAATCTATTGGACCACACTAAAAGGAATCATGCCTATTAGCAGTGATGATCAAACCAGAGTTCTGCACTAAGAATCTCTAGGCACTAAGAATACACTAAGAAGAGGAAATGGCTGGGAAAAATCTTGAAACAGGCTCTGTGTGTCAAATTATCCTGCTGAGTTCACACCAGTGCTAGCAAGAACATTTTCTGAATGCTCTTGCCTTCATGATAAACTGTATGAAACATCTCATGGCAGTACAAAAGAGAATATAAATTCAGAGTTTGGGCCTGATAGTAAAAGGGCATGTCCTGAAGAGTGCCTGGCAAAAAGATGAAAGGCAAGAGACACAAGCCAGAACATGAGAATTTTCAAATAAATATATGGAAAAAAGTATTAAAACTAAAGATTATCATATACTGGAACATGTTGGCCATAGGGGCTGTGGAATCTCCACTGTAAGAGGTGTTGAAGACTTGACTGGGCAAACCCCTGAGCTAACTAGACCTGATTTGGCCAGCAAGTGCGTACTAGATGACCTTTGAAGTTCACTTCCATTCTAAATTATCCTATGATTCTATATCAAAGTTAAAGGATAAACTCATCCTGCAGTCATACAAGGAGAAGAAAAGGAACTCCCCTTCTCTTAAGTTAGGATAGCTCCCTCAAGGCATTTTAATGTATAGTATTTAAGAAAGCAGTTTATCAGCACACCCGGTTATCTCCTTCTAAAGACCACGGCAACCGATGGGAAAAATCTCCTGTTCACCTTAATGCACAGAAACTACAAAAGCTACTAACAATCACTTAGGTACAACAGGGACTAGGCTACATCAAAAGCAGAAGCAAAGAAATCATAGAAACATAAAATCGTAGAATGGTTTGGGTTGGAAGAGACCTTAAAGGTCATATAACTCTAACTCCTCTGCCATAGAGAGGGATACCACCCACTACATCAGGTTGGCCAAGGCCCCATCCAGCCTGATCTTGAACACCTCCAGAGATGGGGCATCAACAGCTTCTCTTGGCAACCTGAAAATCTCAATATCCTTGGTCTTTGTGGAATATTAGACTTCAGGAAATGAATTCCTGCTCTAACACTACTGAGTCTGGAAAAGTGTTCATATATTACAACTAATTTCTTGTTATGCTTTCATACATTTTGTGTAGAGTCAAAAATATTAGGCCAAGTATGTGAAATAAGGCTTCTAAACCCTGTTTTCAGTAAATGGTCCGATGCTACTGCCTGATTTACTTCTTGCTCTGAAACCAAGGGAGTTGCAAATCCTTGGCTCCTACAGAAATTGGGGCTGATGTAGTCAGTTGTTTAAATGTAAATCATAGAAATAGAATTGGAGAATAATTTAGATTGAAAGGGACCTCCAGAGGTCATCTAGTCCAACCCTTAAAGCAAGGCAAATTTCCAAGTTAGATCATGGTGTTCAGCACCTTGTTTCCCAATCCACCATTTCTCTGAACATCTATTTCTGTTTAATCACTTTTTTTTTTTTTTTTTTTTTTTTTTGGCATGGTGGTGCTTTTGTGATTTTTTTTTCCTTATATCTTTTCAGAATTTCCCTTGCTGCAACCTGTGATCATTGGCACATGTCTTTTCTTTTTCCTGCACATCTCTGAGAAGGCCTGACTGTGTTTTTTCTAGTTCCCTTTCAGGCAGTGACAGGGAACAATTAGAGCCTCTCTCTCAGTCTTTTTTTTTTTTTTTTTTTTTTTTTTTTTTTTTTTTTTTTTTTTGTGGCTAAATAAATGCAGTGTACTCAAACACTTCTCATAAGTCTGGAAAGTTATGAGCTCAGAAAGAAGACTTCTCACTCTCTGTTTAGTAAATAATGGATACTTTTTTTTTTTTTTTTTTTTACTAGAATTTATATTCTATATCAAGTCAGTAACTTACAGCACCATGTACGTAAAAAACATTATTTTCTAGAGGACATTGATCATCCTGAAGCATTAATATTCCTTACAATTCCTACTCAGAAGGAATGGAAAGCTAAAACAAACTACCTTTACAATTATTAGTCTCTCTAATGCCAAAACAAAATCAAAAAAAATTCACTGAATTTTGGAAAGGTCTTACCCTTGGTCCCACTGGTCCCACCACTCCAGCTTCACCCTGTTGAGGATGAACATACACAGCAATGACAATGAGAACTTCTACAGTATCTAATAGAGGTGGCTGGTAACAAGGCCACCAAATATTCTGGAAGAACAAAAAACAGTATGAACTCACCTTCTGCCCTTTTCTTCCTAATAATTCAGTTAAAGATCCATCAGCAGTAATGATAGCTCCTGGTTCTCCCTTTTCACCCTGCAATTAACATCAAAGCTATTTTACAGTGTTTACAAAGCAGCTCTCAATGAGTAAGCAAAAGTAAAAGCAGCATTGCTGCTGTTTGAAACATGACATTATTCTGAGAGAAAAACTACAGTATGATTGATTCTGGGGGAGAGTAGGGCTGATCTTTCCTAAAACACCATACGGTAAACTGAAAGTATCCTACTACTGTAAATATCCATAAGATGTATAAGTACTTGGTTTTGTTTTTGTGTTTTTTGTTAAAAAAAAAAAAAAGACTTTCAATTGCTCTCAAATAATTGTCTCTGTGAAATGTGCTGTGTTCATAAGAGATCTCTGCCAAAGGCAGACAGGCTATTGGAGTCTTCCTGTGTACCAACAGCTTAGATATTTGTCAGCAAATACTGCTGGAATTGTAAATTCTTGAAAACACTAAGTGGAAAGAGTGACTATCAGGAATAGTGTGAATCTTTTTTTCTATGTCCTTGAGGTATGATGCAGTCTCATTATCTTTCAGGAAGGCCAATTGGCAGCATTTAAATTACAAACCTCTGAGTTTCTCTTCTTCAATGGGTTTCATTGAATAATGGCATCACCACCAGGAATTCTCATTCTCCAGTGCAGACACGTGGTTGCCACTAGATCTAGATCATTCAGCTGTAACTTTCCTCCTCCTAGCTCAGGTAATCTGAGCTTTTTAACTTTCCCAAGACCTTTAATGGAAGAAATTTGACTCGAAACTAACAATTGCATTGCTGATTAAAGTGATAGCTCAGGTTAGAACACTTACATTGAGCTTCATTTCCTGCAGATTTAAGGCATATTTTGGAGTCTCCCTGAGCCCTTGTTTTATTGACTTTATTTTTTGTGAGATTTCATGGATGAGAGGCTGCAACAGAATAATCTCATGATCCTTACAGGGAAATGTTCCCTGGTGTCTGTTGAGCTTCGTCTGTGGTTGCTGAGATCATCACAGTCTTGAGCATAACTTGGTATTCACGCCTCAGAAACAGCATCAAAAACATCATTATGTCATTGGTGGGTGTAAAATATAATGACTTCAAAACTTTGAGTTCCTTCCAGTGTGAATAGTAGAAGTAAAAAAAAAAAAAAACAAACAAAAAACTCCAAAACCCAAAAAAAGCAAACAGACAACGCCAAGCCAAAAAACACACAACTGTTTTTAAGTCTGAGCTCCATCATTTTATGCACTGGGTAAAACCAGAACCCATGTATCAAAAGGGGATTATTCTCAAACCATTCCCACTTGTGAGAAAGTGCGGGTCGGTTATTTTATAAATACAAGCAGGAAGTGTTTTTGCTTTTGTTATCCCCAAGACTGTAATAACTTAGATGTTCCTCATCCATGCTTCCAGCAAATGGATGAGAAGAGGAATAAGAAAATGCAACAGCAGCAGCAATACTTGAAAAGGGGAAGAAAAAAACAGAACAGGCCTCGGTCACCTCTCAGCAATGTCACAAATAAACACTATTGTGTAAAATAAGAGAAAGGACCCTAAGGAAAGAGGTTTCCAGGTCTTACTCTTGTTTTTGGGGAATGGAAAACCGCAGTCTTCATTGTGTAGGTAAAACTTTCTGTACCAAGGAAGGAAAAAGAAAGTTTTTTTGTTTGTTTGTTTGTTTGTTTTTTTCCTCTTTTTTTTTTTTGGTCTCCTTGGTTAGAATACCAGGCTGTCGGCACTGATCACCAGCTTGCAAGAAGAGGTCACCTCATGCTTGATGTTTATGCAAACATATTTTGATAAAGCATACTACACTGCTGAATTTCAGTTCTTGGGCAGAAATGTTAGTTCTCAGTAATATTATATCAGGTATTTTGTTTATCAGTCTTTCAAATCACACTTACTAGATTTTTCACATAAACTTATTAACACCCCAAGCCCTAGTAAAATTAGAATCATAAAACTAGAACCATAAAACATTATGATGCCACTAAGGATTTGTTATCTAACACATTTTGTAACATGTAGTTTTCCCTTTGCATTTTCTCTTACCTGTTGGCCTTTGGGTCCTTTTGGTCCAGGCAAACCAATATCACCTTTTGGTCCCTGAGGGCCCTAAGCAAAATCAAGTACATAAATAAATTGGTGGAGAGCTCTGCTGAGAAAATGGAGCTGGACCATTTTACTAAATGTAATTTTAAGTAACTGGAAAACTTGAACCTGAATCACTCCGGTTGCAGTCTAAGACTTGATTTACAAGTATTACAAATCTTAGACTTACAAGACTAAATTGCTGTCTGAATCAACAAATTTTTAAAAACAAATATCATATAGGGATAATCTGTTAAAAATAGCAAAAGAAAGAAAGTTTTTTATCAGAGTGTAGATGATACACACTTTCACAAAGAGAAATATGCATACATTAATAAGAGTGGAAAATCAGCCTAAAATTCTCTTTCTTCCTTACTCTATTCTCTCTCCTTTCATGGTCATTCAGTGACACTGATTTCCAAAAGATTTTCTGAAGTTGTATTTTTAAGAAACAGTACAATAAAAATTACGTTTTTATATAGAGAGATTATATATTTAAAAATAAGATCGTTTCTGTGAAAGTATTCTTCTCAGATCATATTTTGTTTTAGTCTTCCATTATAAACACGTGTAGAAGCACTTTAGTTTTTACCCATCAAGAGCTAAATTCAAATTTACATGATTTCTGCATTAGTGAAGAGTTAAAGTAAAGACCTGATTTAAGGATGAGAATGGTATTTTTTATGAAGAAATTCTGTTAATAACAGAAAGACTAACAATTCATTATATCACTTTCTAAATGTTGTCAGCTCTTTTTCAACTGAAAAGTATTTTAAAGATTTTTAATTTTTTAATTTTTATTTGTTTTCTTATGCAGTCCACCATGCCCAGGACTCAGCAAACAACCTTTGTAGAACTTTGGGCTAGTTGCCAACATTTTGTTAACATCATTTTTCAGCTTTCCCAGTTTTCTCCTTATTCTTAGGCAATAGACAAAGGGCCCTGAGAACATCTGCATACATCTGAACTGTAAAACAACCATAACAGGGGGAAATAATGCTACTAAATTAGATATAACATAAATATAATAGTATAAATAATACTGTTAGAAGTTACAAGCCAGGTAGTGTTTCATGGAACAGCAGTATGAGCACAATAGGTAGCATAATATAATGTACCTTTTGAAACTATGGCTGTGTAATGCACTGGAATGCTGAAATACTATTTTAAAAAAATTACTAAAATTAATAAAAAATAAGCTTTGTATTACTCTAAAGGATTAAGAAATCATAAACCTGATAAGGTTTTACAGAGCTCTCTAGTATTGACCAAAAAAAATGCAGCAACAGCACAAAAATACGTAACAAATAATATTATTCCATATGCTATTTGAATATAATTTTTAGAAGCCCATTCATTCCATTTGTTTCTCCTAAACTGCACAGGAATTTTCTTTAGGTAACAATTTTTCATTAGACTCAATTACATGTAAACTGCAGATCTGATTCTCAGATAAGCAGAAATGAGTTATGTATATCATAGTATACTTCATTTCCAGCAGAGTTAATTTCTACCATAACTGTTGGTTCCATAAAAACTACAGTCTCATACAGAAATGTATCAGACTTTGTATAAACTCTGTACAATATAAATGTTAAAATATTAAAGCATATTGAGAAATACTTAGATCCCAGGAACATAATACTTACAGGAAATCCTGGTAGACCTGGCCTGCCATCTGGACCCTGCAAAATGCAAAAAACCCTACTCCCTTACAAACACATATTACAGACTTGCAAAACAGAGAATGCATTTTCAGTGTATAGCCTAATTTATGAATATTAATTGATCTGAAACTGGACTAAGAATTTCATTCAGCCAGTGGTAAACCTGCTATCACTCCACAACACTCTATGTTTCTAACTTTTTCTGGGACACTAGGATTTACTTTCCAAAATGGAAGGGACAAATATCCAGGAGAGGCTTCTGAAAGGTGACATTTTCCACATATTAAAGGCATGCAACCATAAGTCAGACTTCTTTGTATTTTTTTTTTTTTTTACACAACCCATCACAGAGATCACAGGACCCCTTCCACCTTTGCCACTGCACTCTGGGTTGTCTGTGGATAGGAAACAGAATGTCCATTATACTGTGAATATAAACATGGATTTGAATTTGTACTGAGCATATTTAAGATTGCCCCACTGTGATATTTGCAGAAACACAATTTATATCTAGTTTAAGTCACCTGAACGTGCATTACCCAGGTCACCATGATACCCCAACCTCCCTCCTGACTATGGTGAACTGAGGTTCTGATGCCCTTCCAATTAAAACTACATTTCAGGCTGGACCTACAGGACCTACTTCTTAACATAACAACTACTGAAAACCAATGAATTTCTGCTGGGTTTATGAGACCACTCATCTATGTTTTGAGAACCCGTTGTCTAAGGCTTGAATGCCAACTACCTGCAATACCAGAACTCACACAAGGGACCATTCTATTAATCCCTGGCATCCTATAATGTGCAGGGGTTAGGCTTATCTTCCTTGTTTCATTGGGGACTGAATGTGAGGGAGACAACTGTGTTCACAAAGAAGAAATAGACAATAAATAAATAAAATAAACACCAGTCAGCAACTGAAACACTGTGAAGCAAGACACTGTGGGATTTAAACATTGTGAAGTGCAATATATTGTAGATTTTCAGGCAAGTTCTGCCTAACTTTGAATAGACTCTACAGGCTGAAGAACGTAGGCTTTTCTGTGGATTTAGTCCTAGAAATTTGGAATCCTTACAAAGAAGCATCCAGCACTTCAAATATTTGACCAAACTTTTTTGCAGCTAGACTGCTATAAAACAGAAATTGAAATTTCCTATCTGTTGTTCTTTTGTGAGATTTACAATTTACCATCCACAGCTATAATTTCTGTGAGATAAAATTCAAACATGTGAGCCTACTATTCTTAGTTGCAATCACAAGCAGAACAGAGGGAAATACATTACCCCAACATTTCATGACTTGAAAAACAAGAATACAAAAAGGTGGAGGAAATGCTATGTACATCCCTATTTTTGCATCAGTTCCACATTTCTGTCATTCTGAGCATATTGTTCAGATTTAGAGCTAAACCAACCCCTTCAATTCATTTCTTTCAGATAAACATATAAGAACTAATTCATCCACACAGAATTCATTTCTGCCCTGAAGTACTCCCACACAGCTTGTTGCAGGAGTTACAAACACATTTCTGAAGCACAGGAAACTCAGCTCTAGATGATACTTAAAAGGAGACATTAAAGATAGAGCAATTCTGAGGATTCAATAAAGCAACATATACTCACAGGAGGCCCGACCAGTTCTTCAATTGAAGAAAAATTAAAAATTCCATCTGTATCATTGAGTAGTAGCTAAAAAAGTGGTTAAGGAACAGGTTATTTCAAATATCACACTGGTTATCTGGAGTACTCATACGTTTTTTAGAAATTTGCACACAGTTTAAACTGTGTATCCTATTATAAACATGGGCAGAAAACTACAAGTAAGGCAAAAGATATGTATAAGCTATTTTTAACTTTTGTTATACACCTGGAATAACAAAATAGAGCACTTTCATTTTATTCCTTATGTAAGGACTTCAGAATGCTTTAAAAACTTTTACTACCTGACCACCATATATTTTTAATTTGAAAACTTTTATAACATATATTGTAGTCTGAGGTCATTTCTCCACAAATAAAGATCAAAATAAAAGTATTATACCCCAATACGTCACTGGCATTCTGAGATGGTGAACTTATCTGGCCACAATCTATCTTGTAGATTTGAGGTTTTTACTCTGAATATGTCTGCATCACACAACACAGTGATTCCTAAATTAGATCTGATCATGCTGCTGTGTCTACTTGGTGCAATATAGAGCAATCAATTAAACTAGCTTGGATCCCCAAAACAGTGTAGTCACGTGCATGTGGAACAGCACCTAAGCTAATGCGCTCTGAGTCTCCAGAAACCTAAACAGAGCAGAATGATAACAATGTTGTTATACTTCTTCCTATCCTGGAATTAGTGAGGTCTGTAGTAGCTTAGACATCTGCGGATTTTGATTGTAGAATCAGAATAAGGAAGGTCAACCTGGACCTTTGGAAGTAATTTGGTCCAACCTCCTGCTCAAAGCTGGTCAAATTAGGTCAAGTCCAGTTGAGGCTTGAACAACTGTAAGGATGTAAATGCCAGAGATATCCTGAACAACCAGATAGAGTATTTGAGCATCCTCAGGGTAAAAAGTCTTTGCTTTTATCTAATCAGAATTTCCCATTTTCCAACTTGTGTTGATTAAAGTCTCATGATAACTCTATGTACCTCTAAGAAGTGGGTCACTCCATCTCTGTATTCTCTAATTAGATAGTTGTAGAGAGCAACAAATTTTCTCCTTAACCTTCTTTTCTCCAGGCTGAACAAACACAGTTGTTTCCACTTCTTCTTGTGTACTATGTCCTCTGGTCTCCTGACCACCTTGGTGTCTCTTCATGGGGCTTGCTTCACTATGTCAATACCTTTCTTGTACTAGGAAGCCCACAGTTGTACTTGATATTCCTGATGCAGTCTTGTGAATGTCAGTCACATCTCTCTGAGTTCATCAATTGAGACGAGCTAATTTTCCACCTATTTTTAATCATCCTCTTATCCAATTCATAGGTTACCAGTTTGGTGATCATGAGGCTATGGGAGACTGCATCAAAAGTCAGGGGATGGTGTCCATCCCTTGGCCACAGGCAGGTGATCATGCTGGTCAGAAATGACTCGTCCTTAATAAATCCATCTTGGCTGCTCTCAGTCACCTCTTATCCTGATGTTTTGATAAGGCTTTCAATCTGTTTTCAAGACAGCCAACTTTCTGGTTTAAATAAATGTTCCCAATACTATATCATATGGTCATACATTAAGTAAGGGCAGTATGAAACTGCTTGTTCCACATAAATGCTGTAGATGAAAGAGATTTTTTTCATTTCTTTCACTCCAACAGTCCAACAGTGTGACTTCTAACCTTGTTTTGAATTCAGAAGTATGTACCGAATACTCTTAGAGTCTTGAACTAGTACACTGGTTTAGCAGCAAGACACACCATCCATTTCAAGATCATGCTCTGTGTGCAGCCATGTATTCCTATTCAATGTAATGAAAATCTTTTGAATTTCACAAGGCTAGGGCAGGACATGCCTTCAAAGAGCAGGATTTACTTGGCACATGAATAAGCATGTTTTCAACAAGGCATTGTGAAATCTGAATACCTTTTCTTCATGTAACTATGTCTGGATGATAACTACCAGATTACAGTCCTTTTCATAATTTGTTATGAATATAGTATACAGGATCTAACTATGAAATTAGTTTGAAAAAATCTTGTGTTAAATTCCTGGTTTGAATAGATGGTTTGACCACATGGTCATCAGAGGTCCCTTCCAATTGTCATGTGAGTCTCTGAATACTCTTTTTCTAATCTAGGATGTGAGGAAGGGCACAAGAGAGGGCAGACCTACTTGGTCTTATCATATGTCATATTCTATCATATCCTATCCTATCATATCCATCTGAGCATGGCAACGCATGGTCAGCTTTCTGTATTTTGAGGTCCTGTTGGAATCATGATTCATGTAGCTAAAGCCTGTTACTTCTACTGGGTGCTGCTCCCTTCTCCCTGTCCTCAGGTTCTACAGAAAACTCTGGAAAGTTGTCACTGAAGCAAGTAAAAAGACTGTTTTAAGTCCTACAGGCAGCAGTCCTTCTCCTGGCCTGCATAAGCTCTCTGCTGGTTGCTCCAGGGGTAGCAAGATGCTGTTGGTTGCACTGCATTCCTTGTCCTACTTTGCAGGACAAGGGAGCAGGACAGGGTCTATACTTTAATGACAGTAATAAGAGTTCTGCTGCTGAAATTGTTCTACTTTGTCTACAGCTGGTGGCAGAAGTCCAGGAGCCCCGGGTTTACTCCGTCTTTTCAGTACAGAATTACTGAGTTTATTTTTTTTCATTTATTTATTTATTTTTGAATTACTGAGTATTCATTCCAAAGGCCTTGCTGAGCTTGGGAGCAGGCATTTTGTATGTTTTAGAAATAGAGTTTAGCTGCAAATGGAAAGTATGGTTGGAAATAAGTGAAGTCTACAAAGTGCTGAAGATATGAAAATACAGGGTGCAAAAATGATGATTAGAGAAAAAGATTGCACCAGGCACATAGTTATTTAACTTTCTTTTCAGATTTGCAAGCAGCTTTATTAGCCTCAATTTAGCAACATAAATTTTCAGCACATCAAATGAATTTAGAAAGTGTTGTCTAAAAAGTAAGGACAGTGTTGTTTTTTAGTTTTTCTTCACTGTAATAAAGAGGTAGAAACAATAGTTTTTAGCATGACAAATGGAGTGAATAAGCCGTTAATACAATTACAGAAAAAAGGGGTAACACAAAATCTTCTGACATTTGCTTTACACCCCCCAGACATGAACCTTTCTCCAGGAACTGAGCTTTCATTCAGTTTGTGTACATAAACTATGTATGAAGAATGGCAGCAAAGCATAATTAATTGCTTAAACATTTTATATTTAAATCCAATGAAATTTCTCAATTCAATGTTACTTCAGTATAGTTTCCAACTAAATTAGTTAGTATCTTAGTTCCAACTAAGATAGTTCAGAGTGATTAAATCCTAGCAAAAATTAATGTTTTACTAGTTATCATTTACCGGTTATGATGCAAGAAAATGCATAGAATATCACAGATTACTCTCCAAAAGAACAAAATAACCAATACAGGATAAGAATTTTTAGTATTTTATATATTACTTTATATATTTTATATATACACTGTATGTATGTGTAGTGTTAGCTGTATATTGGCTGACGTAGTAGCCAAGCCTCTCTCCATCGCATTTGTAAAGTCCTTGCAGTCAGATGAAGTCTCTGGTTACTGGAAAAAAGGGAACATCACTCCCATTTTAAAAAAGGGTAGAAAGAAGGACAGAGGGAACTACAGACTGGTGAGCCTCACCTCTGTACCTGGGAAGATCATGGAACAGATCCTCCTGGAGGCAATGTCAAGGCACATATGAGACAAAGGGGTGATCTGAGACAACCAGCATGGCTTCACCAAGGGCAAATCATGCTTGGCCAATCTGGTGGCCTTCTATGATTAAGTGACTGTGTTAGCTGACAATAGAAGACTGACCAATGTCATCTATCTGGACTTCTAAAGGCCTTTGACATAGTCCAACATGACATCCTGGTCTCCAAATTGAAGAGAGATGGACTTGATAGGTGGACTGGACCGTTCAGTGGATAAGGAATTGGCTTGAGGGTTGCACCCAGGGAGTGGTGGTCAATGGCTGTATGCCCAGGTGGAGGATGATGATGAGTGGTGTCCCTCAGGGGTCAGTCCTGGGACTCATACTGTTTAATAACTTTAAATCAACTGTTTAATATCTTTTAAACTGTTCAATATATTTTAAATTTTAATATCTTTATCAACGACATAGTGGGATCAAGTGCAGCCTCAGCAGGTTTGCAGATGACACCAAGCTGAGTGGTGCAGTTAATACAACAGAAGGAAGGGCTGCCATCCAAAGGGACCTGGAGAAGCCTGAGAAGTGTACCCATGTGAACCTATTGAAGTTCAACAAAATTAAGCGCAAGGTGATGCACCTGGGTCAGGACAATCCCAGACGTCAGTACAGACTGGATGAAGAACTCACTGAGAGCAGCCTTGTGGAGAAGACTGGCAGGTTCTGGTGGACAAAAAGCTTGACATGAGCAAGCAGTGTGCACTTGCAGCCCAGAAGGCCAACTGCATCCTGGGCTGCATCAACAGAGGGGTGGCCAACAGGCTGAGGCATGTGATTGTCGCCCTCTGCTCTGCCCTCCCAATTGGAGTACTGTGCCCAGGTCTGGGGCCCCCAGCACAAGAAGGATGTGGATCTGTTAGAGCAGGTCCAGAGGAGGGCCACAAAGATGCTCACAGGGCTGGAGCACCTCTCCTGTGAAGAAAGGCCAAGAGAGCTGAGGATATTCAGCCCGAGGAAGATAAAGGCTCCAGGGAGCCCTCACTGCAGCTTTTCAACCGGTTAAAGGGGGCTCATAAAAATATGGAGAACATTTTTTTCTCAGTCAGATAATAACAGGACAAGGGGAATTGCTTTAAACTAAAAGGGGGGAGATTTAGGTTAGAGGTTAGGAGAAAATTCTTCACTCAGAGGGTGGTGAGGCACTGACACAGGTTGCCCAGATAAGCTGTGGATGCCCCATCTCTGGAAGTCTGGAAGTGTTCAAGACCAGGTTGGATAAGACCCTGGGCAACCTGATCTAGTGGGTGGCAAGCTGTTCTATGGTTCTATGATAAAAAATTAGTATTTTTGAATACCAAATTAGCAGCAAACTGAGTTTTTTTGTTTTGTTTTTGTTTTTTAGTATATATACAGGATAGTTCAGAGCAGACTTCCTAACTGATTAAAGGAGTGAATAGAGGAGGGAGAGAAGATTGCAAGTTTCTGAGACCCACAGATGTCAAAAGGGAATGCAGAAGCCAGACCTCAGTTTTATTTTATCATATCTTTTCACAGTGTTAGAATTGGCTCCCGAAGGAATCAAATCCCCTCAGTTCACATGGAGAACATCAAATGAGGAGGAAAACAAGATCAAATGAGGACGAAGCCAATGCCTACTTTACTATTTGACAACTAATGGTGAAGGTTGGCCAAGAGTCACAACCATCCAGATCAGATCTTAATATTACAGCAATACTGAGGCTTCATCAACTCTTTAATTTATTTAGCTATTGTCAAGCGGTATAAAACTGCTTTAGTTGTAGCCACTAAGACATTAAAAAGAAGACTTCCTTCCTACTCTGATGGTTCAGTCCATTTGATTTCTATATCCAATGAAGTATTATTGTCTTTCTTTAAACAATAGTTGAGTGAGTGAACTAATACATCCTGACCTGGGCAATGATTTCCCGGGATGTGCTATGGATCACTTAGATCACTTAACTGATGTCTGCTACTCTACCAAGGTCAAAACAATATCCACATTGCAACAGATGGTATTGGTATTTATTTTAGTTCTGTAATTCTAACTGCAATTGTTAGGTCTGCTTGCAGTAGTTCTTTTCATTTCTGAAGTTAATTACATATGAGGTCTGATGTTTTTCTGAAAAACTCTGTCAACAGAATTTGGATAATTTAATCTTCTATCTCAGCAAATATATATTAAGCAAAGATCCTGTTCTTATACAAACTGTGCGGTAAGTAGAACTCATTGTCATATATACCCACATATACTTACACATACACACAAGTTTAATCAACCGTTTCAAATCCAGCTTGTCAAGTCCTCAGAGAAATCATCTGATTAACAGCAAGTAGATTTTGAAGCATACGAGGATGTCTCAAAAATAGCTCTTGCTGTACCTCCACAGAATACCTGTTTGCTACAAATGTGTGTAAAGCCTGTTTGCTACAAATGTATGTCAAGTACACAAAGTGTATGCACCCTACTTTGTATGGGAGCTTACTTCTTAACCTCCAATATATTTAGAGAAGGAAATGTGTTTCTGTACAGATTTGTAATATACCTGATGCAATACAGCTTCTACTAGGCTCTACACACTTCTGTAACACATGATGAAGGCAATTCATACACAGATTGTGGAGAATTCAGAGGATGGTTTCTTCAGGCCTATCTACACATTAGATAGACGTGGTGGACTCTGCCTACCACAACACACAGGGATTCATGCAACCTCCAGCAAACTAGTCATTAGTTTGCTATGTTGGCTTCAATAATATTTTTATATTTCTTATCTATGCTGTCCTCCCATACTGAGATTTTTTGTTTGTTTTGAGGAGCAGACTTAAAACCTGTACATCAACACTAGAATTGACAGGTAGGTAACCGCTTGTGCCCTCTTCATGTTAAGTGGGGTTACAAAGACTTTGAAGCTTGACAAATGCACTTACCTCAGGTATTGCTATGATTGGTCCTGGTGGTCCTGGTGGTCCAGGTGGACCCACAATACTGTTCCCATCCTGTCCTCGTTCACCCTATTTTAAAAGCATTACATGTGGAAAACCCATTTACTAAGCACTACAATTCACAAATTTCTCAGAAAGAATGAAATCCACCCAATCTCACCTGAGGTCCTGGGTCACCCTTCTCCCCTTTTGGCCCCTGCACATGATAATAAAAACAAGCAGAAATTATTTTAAAAGGAAAATGGCGAAAATGAGAATTCTTTATCCTCAGAAAATGCACAAGAGTAAAACACAGGTACAGAATGATCACCAGCCTCTCAAACCACAGATGGGACAAGCTAATTTCCACTCAGATCCACTGAGGGCATGATGTTTAAAATTATTTGTCAGCACATTTGACACTTCACAAACAAGAAACAAATGAGCACACACCATTTCATTAGCTGGGAATTAATTACAGAAGCCTTTCTTTCAGTGTAGTGAAATCAGCCATGCCTGGCTGCTTTTTCCTTTTTCAGCACTGACTGCCTCAGTTGTGTCCTGGATTGCCCAGTGAACTGGGCAGGGAAATACAGGTGAACTAAACAGTCGTTTTTCAGATAAGTTATTTCTAAGCTTGATCAGCCCTTCAATATGATTCACTAGACATGTAGACAGATCGTTTGGCATGAGTGAAAGGAAAGTGGCAGGGAATGAGCTGTAGGACTTCCCAGCTGAAGAATTTTTGAAGTCCCTGGGGCTCTTAAGCAGGAGAAATACATTAAAGCCATCTAATTTTTTTTTTATTATTATTTTTTTGGTTTCCATCTAATTAAAAGCAGAGATAAATTCTGAATAATTAAAAACAAAAGGAGAATTGAAGAATGAGAACTGGCCCCTGGAGAGGCCTGTATCACTTTTGAGTGGTGTGTGGTGTCTAAACCGTATGCTTCAGGTTAGGTAGGACAAACCCAGACCCAGCTCTCCATATACTGCTACCAAGTCCTGCAGAGGGATCCTGATGAACCTCAAGACACAAGTTTAGGAGCCAGTGTGTGTTAGGTGATCATGGGATATGATATCCCTACTCACCATATTTCCAGGATGTCCATCAATGCCAGGAAAGCCTGGTTTTCCTTTTGTACCTGGCAGTCCCTACCACAGAAAACATATTGTTATTCAAGATAAACTACATGATCTAATACAAAGACTACAAGAAAAAAACTACAAGATCTCATAAAAACATACTGCTCCTAAAGGGACATACTATCTGAGTGGACTAGATAGTAGGTTGGGGGGTTCCATGGAGTTAGGATCAGTAGCTCTCAGTAGTCATCAGCCCTCTGCACTGCTCCTGCTATTTCCTCCTCTCCAGATATATATTTTTTTTAAATGCAGTTTCAATTATTCATCATCATTGTTTGCAACTCTGCTTAGCAAAAGGGTGAATTCTGCTACTTTCCCTCAAGCTTTATTGTGGGTTATTCCCACCCTTTCGATTAAGTGACTCTCAAACTGGATGAAGAGGCAGCAGAGATACTGAATGTAGATGGGAGGGAGGGAGAGAGGGGGAGGGATTGGGATGTGGGGAAAAAAGTTTGGTAGCTCCTGCTCTAGTTTAGTGGAGGACTGAACTTTACTGCTATGAATCTGATCAGTTACTCTATATTCTATGGGGAAAAAAAAAAAGAAATTATTCCATAGTAATGATAATGAACTTTGCCTAGAAAAAATTGATAAAAGAAGACTGTGAATTCTTAAAGGAACAACTAAACAGTGAACTCTCTTTTTATTTGTATCTGTTTTTCTCTGTCATATGAAAAAGCAAAAGAAATTACACAGAATAGCTTAATGATTCACCCAAGTGCTAGATTAGTCCTGTGCTGTTTCAGTAGTGGTTTGTGTTTTCTTTTCATTTGATTTTTTTTTTTTTTGAAAAGGTTGTTTTGTTCTTACATTTTGTTTTGCTTCAGAAAAACTACTTCTGGGTTTTTACAGTAGATAGTACCATGACAATCTAAAAGACATAGACAATTCCATGTAAAAGCTTGGTAGCTGTCAAAAAGGTAAGCTGAATAATAAAGATTATTATAAAAGGCACAGGGAAAGGAAAAAAAAAAAAAAAAAAGAAAGAAAGAAGAACACAGAGCATTACTATTCCACTGCATATGCTTATTGTATGCCCATAACTTGAATACTGTGGATCATTTCAGTTCTTTCATCTTAAAAGGGTTCTAGTGGAAATAGAAAAACTTCAGAAGAGTGCAATGGGAATAATGAAAGGTACAGAATGATGTCTATATGAGATATTATGGTGTAAGCTAGGGCCATCTAGTTGGAAAAGAGACAAATGAGGAGATGGATGAAGAATATTGTATTATATTCTAAAAGGAGAGAGGAATTAAGGATTCACTCTTCTAATAGAAGAAATAGTGAGCATCAAATGAAAAAAGCTGGAAGAGGTTCGTGCAATGTGTAGCTAAGTTGACAGAGCCCCTTGACACAAGATATCATATATCATAAAAGTTTGTGTAAGTTCCAGGGAAGGTATCAAGTTCTTGCAGAAGAGAATTTCAGTGTACTACTTGTCCTTTTCTAAACTTAAACAGCATCTAAGCATCTGCTCAAACTGTATCTACTTTTGACTATTTCTGGAGGCAGGATACTAGGATGCATAGATGTGATCCAGTAAAACCACCAAGAATTATATAATATTCTGCTGGAGTCTCTAAAAGAACAATAGATCCATAAAGCATCTAAAGTCAAATAGCCTTCTGTGTTGCATTTTTGGTGTGATAGAAGAAGTTCAAATTAACAATTTATAGGGCTCAAAATCCTCTCTCTACTTGTGCCTTATTATAGAACTACCATCATAAAAGATTTAATATGCCATCCTTTCAGGCATGCTGGTACGTGTAGATCAACTTCCTATTATTACAAATCCTGAATAATTTCATCATTTGATTTTACTAATGATTTTTAGTTTGGAAGAATAATACAGGATAGGTATGATGCTTTAATTAAATAAGTTATTCAGAAACATCCTCATTTCCAACTCCCCCCATATTTTAAGATTGTAGAGCTGCTCTTTGTTCAAATATAAGAGAACTAAAATACATTCCTCGTTTTCTTTTGTTTTCGTTTGTTTTTAACCTGAGGATTGGAGAGTTTGACTATTCTTAAATAACTTTGTAGCCATTCCACTTACAATATATGCACGTGTTTGAAATGTATCTGTCACAGCATCAATACTAATTACTAGAACAAACACCATAAGACAATACACCTGTATGAATAATAATTAAGGAAATAATTTATAGCCTCAAGCAGATAAAAAAGAAGATTTTAAAACTACAGTCCTATGCATTAATGTATCAGCTTTAGTTACTTCACTAACAAATATCTCTGCCATGGCAATGCTTAAAATACACAGAGCAGGTGGAATTTATGTCAAACAGTCCTACTACATTGTTGTTTTTTAAAAAATAAATAAGCAAATGCTGTTAGAAGACTGTGGCAATACTTCTGCAAATACTCAGCAAATAGAAGGGTAGATTCATAATTATTTTTTTCTTGTTTCATACAGCAACTATTAATTTTAGAGCTGTGCCAAACGCAAAAGAGTTTTATTTTATTTTATTTTATTTTATTTTATTTTATTTTATTTTATTTTATTTTATTTTATTTTATTTATTTTATTTTATTTTATTTTATTTTATTTTATTTTATTTTATATTTATTTTATTTTATTTATTTATTTCATTTCTACATGTCCCAGTGCTGCCATCTGCTGTGATACATCTGCAAAACGCACCCAAGTCAGCCATAGTCAGTCATGCAGAAAGCAGCGGGGACATGAGCAGAAACTTTGGAGTGGGCTCCAAGAAGGGTCCAAAGCAGAAAAGACAGGGATGGTGAGGGGGAAAATTGGACAGGAAATATGGACTCTTGCACCATTAACTTCTGCACTAACATGGTGGAAAACAGTGTAAACTGGCTGCTTTTGATGCCATGTTGCATGGCTAGAACTTGAAATGATCCAGAGGAGCAGGTCTAGCTTGCACACTGGTTCATGGGGTGAGTTAGACAGCTAGGACAAATTCCAGCTTGGAGGCACAGGCTGCATATTAGGAAAACCGTCTTTCCTAGATGGATAATGAAGCACCAGGACAGGATACCCAAAGACTTTTTGCATTCTCCTTGGAGTTATTTAAGACTCAGCCAAACAAATTCATTGCTGATATGATCTGGTGTTGGTGATAATCCCACATTAAGTGTGATATTGGACTAGATGACCTCTGGGGTTCTTCCAGCCAACATTTCTACATTCCTGTACCTTCTGAATGGTCCATTTGGATTAGGAGTAACCTGGCTGCAGGAAAATGTTAAGCTCTAGCACAGAAATAGGGAACAATAGTGGCCTCTGTGTGGAACACTGGATTAGGGTTGTGGATGGGTCCTGAGACCTCTACACAACACAAATGAATCTACTGTTGTACTACAGATATGTAGTGTAGTGGTGGAGTGCTTTGGTATGGTGTGCTAGCTATGAACCCTGTAATTAAGAATGGGACAACAGGTAGAACTCAGTTTTCACATAAACTTTGCTTATTTTCATTTTTGTTCTGCCAAAAACCAAAGTGGCTTCACAATACACCATGACATCATACACTTAAATAACTGGATTTTAAATATAATTTTAACCATATTTTAAACAGAAGTCTTAAGCAACAGGTTACCTGGCTCCTGACATTCACAACTCAACAATGAAAGGTTCTGTTTTTCCAGAGAAACTTTCCTGAGCTTTAATAAATTGACAGAGCAACAAGAAATGTTCATTGCCCCCTTATTATTCCCATATAAAGGAAACTAAGAGGAGGAAATGAGTGAGGTTTTAGATCAAGCTATATGAATTTCTCACCTTTGAACCTGGTGGACCAATATTTCCTCTTTCTCCCTGAAAAAGAGACACAGTAAGTAGAGCTCAAAGATCAAAGTGAATGGTGATTACAAGGATTTTAAAATGTATATTACTTTCCTTAGGGGGGGGAAAAAAAAGACTGGATGGAGTAGAAAGATTAATAAAAACAGAGCACATTTTTGTAAAGTGATGCTCAATATACATTTGTGAACCAGTTCTGGGGGTTTAACCTTCCAGTTGCAACCTACATCATAAGTGCTTCTGGTTAGCACACATTACTTCTGCTGTGCATGCACCAAGCTGCATGCCTGAACCTTCCTTTTGGTATCTGGAAAGTAAATATAGTAACAGTCCCCAGATATACCAGTGCCACAGTGATCTTGTGCATCCACAAATGACCCACATTCTTGCTTCAATACAGTTAAATTAGCCTCCTCCGTACTACTGCTCTCCCCATCTACCCAGACACTGTGTCATACCACAAGTAATGTAATGAGTACTGTCCTGTTCCACCTTCAGGGCTTACTCTGCAGCACTCTGGCTATGAGTAGACATGATTTCTTGACTTCACTAGACAAAGAATATGCAATGTAGTTCATTTTAATTGAGATGGATAATATGAAAAGGAATAAAACATCAAGAAGCTATTGCCATTGCCTGGAATGTCATGTTTATGCTTACAGTCTTTCAGGAGTGTTTATATTCTTAAGTTAATGAAGACTGTAGACTCTTTTTAAAGGAAAGTAGTTTTTCATAATAGTAACTGTAAAAGCAGAGTTTGGTCTTTATTTGTTAGGAAAGACATTAAACTTTGGTCACAACAGGCCTTCACTGTTGGGTGTTTGAAGGATGAAGGAGATATGAAACACAACTTTATCTTGAATATAACGTGTAAGCCTTTGTTTTTTGGAAGTGGGTAGCTGTTGTATTTTGCCACTGTTGCCTAGTGAAGTCCTTTATAACCATGAAAAGTGGGTGTAAATTTCATCCTCATGGGAATTATAGTGTATTACAGCCACTTTATATTGATTTTCTGTAGTGTATCTGATTTTGTAAGAAATTAAGCAACACATAATCTGTTCCTTTCTGTGTCTCCATGATCTTGGGGATGAATGACTCAAGTTTAAACAACCATAAACTTAGTGTAGGTGGTGGTGAACTCTCTCGGTCAAAATTTATGACTATCTTTTCAGTCCTAGTCATGTTCATAAATGCATCATCATGCTATCCCCATACTCATAAGTAATGCTGTCTTCCAACATTAACAGGAGGACTTGTTACCCAGTGGAGGGACTTTTTGCAGCTGTGTAAACTGAGCACTACACTAGACCCTACATATAGCAGACTGGACAGATCTTAGATTGGCATTGTTCTATGAAAGAGATGCATGCAGCTGTTGCTGACAATGTCCTTTCTGAGTAATCAGTGACCTGTGCTGTGTATAAATTTAAGGAAGAGAGGGTGGAGTCCACAACCTATTATTTTACATTTCATGCTCTCTCAGTGTTCCTGTCATTTCCCAGGGCAATGAAGACATGGAACATCTTTAACTTCATACAACAGATTGAAGGTGCTGAAAAGGTGTTGCCATGCTGTACTATTAAATTGAGCGGTACTAAATCTTCATATAGGATTAGAAGCAAACTCTTCCTGGCTAAGGCTCCATTTTGGGAATATGCCCTTTTATCTTTTTTTCACATTTCTCTGTTTTTTCCACATGGCTTATTTAACCAACAGTAGCATCAAGATGGAAAAATTCTGTCACAGCTGAGCTCAAAGAAAAAAAGAAGGCAAAGCACAACTCTCTCTTTTCCCCCAACATTTTCAGAATCTTTTCTCATCACTTTCTTATCACTTATCACAAATGACACCAGAAGGTCTTCCTACAGTTTCCTCTTATAACAAAACACATGCAAACTCCTGGAAACCAGAATGAAGTATCAATGAGCAACAAAGAGGAACTGCCAAACTTCCTAAAAAATTAAACAAAAGTACCATGTTACAGCAGGTGTCTTGGGGTCTAAGTGCCCCATTGGTATTTATGCACCATTCTGATATGGATAAGAAATAATTTATAGAAAAGAAATAAATAAGAAATAAAATAAATTCTATTAATACACATTCTGTGTTATCCAGTCAGTGTAAAAGGAAACACAATTAATCTAGTACTTACCCCATATATAAATGTTAACCATAAAGTTGTTTTTTTAAAAGCAAATACTGGGAATATAGAAATCAAAAATATACTCTGAAGCAAAATAGGCTAGCTTTGATATGTTCTTGTTCATACAGTACTTTTGGTCCAAATGTTGTCCATGTCTTTCTGCAGAACCCTATTAAATCTCACTGCATTTACAGGCAAATCCAGGCAACATTTCATAACAAATTTTCTCAGAAAAATAAAAAATCATAATTGCAGCTGTTACAAAAAGAGGATCTGAGATCAGAAATATCAACAGAGTAGTAAGATACAAGCACTGTTTTATATTCATTGTTCTAGTAAATAGTGCCTTGATTTATATCATGAAAAGAGCTAAAGGTATTTTTTTTCTTAGAATGACTTTATTTCTAATACTTTCAAAAAAAAAAAAAAAGTACTAGTATGCAGTAGCAAGAATTAAATTCTCAAAGTACATTTGTTGCAAGGGATTACTTTCAATTGTTTACTTTTTTTTTTTTTTTTTTTTTTTTTTAAATTTGCCTCCTTGTATAAGATTACATTGTATTAACTGAGTACAGGCAATATGGTAATGTCTTGCCAGGCTAAAAATAGCTTGAAACATACTTTTTGGAATGCAAATTCTACTTGTCAGTTGTAAAGGTCAATTATGATCCTTTAAAGGCAAAATTAACTGTCCCAATATGGATCATTTGAGGGGGTAGAATGGAAAAAAGAAATCCAACAAATGATTGAGTCATCTCCATCTGGAATATGAAGAGAAGACACTGTCAAATAAACCGCCAACAAAAATTTACACTGATCTGTGGTAGAAAAAGAATAGAAACCTTGGAAATTTTAGCTACTCTACCAGACGAAATTTTATTTTGAGCAACAAAGAGGAACTGCCAAACTTCCTAAGAAATTAAACAAAAGTACCATATTATAGCAGGTGTCTTGGGGTCTAAGTGCCCCATTGGTATTTATGCACCATTCTGACATGGATAAGAAATAATTCTATTAATACACATTTTTATTACAAAAAGTTTTAACAAAAAAAAATATATTTTGTCTGTTAGACAAAACATAACCACTACATTCTTAAAAATGTGCGAGGCCCCACATGGAGTGCTACATCCAGGTCTGGGGCTCCCAGCACAAGAAAGACATGGAACTGTTAGAGTGGATCCAGAGGAGGGCCACAAAGATGATCAGAGGGCTGGAGCACCTCTCCTGTGAAGAAAGGCTGAGAGACCTAGAGATGTTCAGCCTGGAGAAGAGAAGGCTCCAGGGACACCTCCTTGCAGCTTTTCACTGCTTAAAGGGAGCTCATAAAAAGTATGGAGAACAATATTTTGCTCAGTCAGATAATGACAGGACAAGGGGAATGGCTTTAAACTAAAAGGGGGGAGATTTAGGTTAGAGGTTAGGAGGAAATTCTTCACTTAGAGGGTGGTGAGGCATTGGAACAGGTTGCCCAGATATGCTGTGGATGTCCCATCTCTGGAAGCATTCAAGACCAGGTTGGATGAGGTCCTGGGCAACCTGATCTAGTGGGAGGCATCCCTGCCCATCACAGGGGGGTTGGAACTGGATGATCTTTAAGGTCCCTTCCAACCCAAGCCATTCTATAGTTCCATGTTTCTATGATAAAGGATGAATAAAAAATATAGCTATATATGGATATATATATGGATATATA